CACGAGTGGCACGGTCCCTTCGTCTTTCCTCGTCGTCCCCTCACCCACAATAAACTGGTATGAGACTCTTTTGCGTCCCAATGTGAAACGGCTCTTAGCTGACCCAGATGCACGCTCGAAGCAGTTTAAAAAGTACGGAATGTGAATGTTCAGTATTGAAGTTAAGCCTAGTCTAATTTTCGGGAATTTAGCATTGTGTGATTAATCTGTTGGTGGTTTTGGGATTTCCCCCTCATAGTTTACAGTTCATTACAGTTTCACTCGCTTTGTTTTTGCACACGAACTATTATTTTGTGAGTGGTATAGAGAAGGTGGATTTGAGGAGGCATTGTTAATCGGGGTTCTGGGGCTAGCTGTTGACACTGGCATCAAAAGCACAGTTTCGGTACCTTTATGTTTCAATGAATTCAGCCAGATAGTTTCCGTTGTCATCGCCATCAACGAAGAGAGTATAGTGTGACCAGCAACTACAACTTCCGCCAGCCGCCAGTATTTCTGCCGCCAACGAGGTAGTATAGGAGGAGGCAAAGGAACGTGTATAACTAAAACGAGTGTTTTCCTTATTGTTTACATTTCCATTTCTCTGAACTTTCAAGCTTCTGCGCCAAATACATTGAGTCGCCGCCATATGAGTGAAATCGTGTTGAGTCGAGGCGCTTTTCCAACTTTTCATTTTAGTCTCGATTTCGTTCTCGTTTGTGGCGTTTGCTGGTCGAAAAGTAATAGTTGACCCGTGGAGCGATTGTCGTGACGATTCTCAACAATAAAAAAAACAAAAAGACAACAACAATAAATAACCAAAAATACCTATTTAATACAAATAATCTACTTGAAATTCATTGTTTATTTGGCGAAATGCGTTAAATCGGACTTAAAAGTATCGAAGTGCAACACCTGTGCATAGTACATACATACAAACATACATATATTGGCCAAGTACGGCGTTAGGCGAATGTGTAATGTGTTTTTCTAGTCTTTAGTAACGATCATTAAAAGTGGACTTATTGGGACTTAGGAGTAATTGTTGTGCTGCGAACGGTAAAGAAATCAGTTTTAGTGTTCAATACAGTGATGTATTTAAAGCAGCTAAATAAAATAGAATTCGCAGAAAGCTTAATCACCACAATTACAAATTGGCGACAATCGTTCGCTGCATTACAATGTGCTACTAAAAATACGTACAACAACGACTACGTCAGCAGTCTGCGTCTTGTGGGCTGCCTCCTGGCTGCTCAGTTGGGTCAGCTTGAGAGCTGTTTGCTGGTAGTGGCCGTCACTAGCGCTGGCATTTGCGGGTGATCTTGGCCGAGTGTTCCGCTTACAGCCGTCAAATCAGAAGAGCACACCTTTGCAAATTAATGTGTACCATGCGAAATATACGAAGCATATGTATATGAATGTATGTATTTACGTGCTTAAGTGTACGCTGTCATTACCATGGCCCTTTGCCGGCCAACCCTCAGTGGCCCGCCCTTCAAACGGACGTCATCACAACTGAGTGCGCTCAAAACCGCTGTGAAGTGTTTGCAATGAAAAAATGCACAAGTGACATACATATGTAAAAATAAATGGAAAACATTTCTTTTGCAATTATTTCTGCCTGGCGGGTTGTCTTTAGCGTTCATACATGCATATACATATCTACGGTATACATACATATGTGTGTGTGCACGCATAGTTTGCGTTTTTATTGAATTTTCATCGATTTTCATTAAAAGGCTGAGTGCTGTGCGTGTGTCAAGAATTCTAAGCACGGAGTACTCGGCACTTCGTACATACAAGTGTGGCGAAGGTTGTTTTTCTAGTTAATTAAACGCATTAAATATCACAACAATGTAGCTTCTTAGTGACATAGAGAAAAACATGACTCATGCTTTTACCCTACCCGGCAATGAGCGCATAATATATTTGGCTGACAATGTTCGTGTTGTCTACCCTCTAAACATATTAACAAGTATTGCCTAGTATGAACGCCATAAAAATCTCGCGACGCTTCTTTCAAATATTAAGCGCTGGTGACACGCATACTTACATACGAATATAACATAGTTAATACTTGCATAGCGTTCACTACATTTTGCCCTTTGCATACCTACATACATGCATACATATATCTTAACTGAACTGAACTTTTTCACTTCATAGATACTATAAACTTACATATTTTATTCTATGCTATTGCAGAAAACAGGGTGTAATTTATATATGTATGGATATTATTACTTGTAAGTATGTCTCTATACTTCAATATTGTATTAAAATATGTGGCGACAGTTTTCTTGCTTTCTTAACTTTACACTTGCGCGTAACCACACTTATGTAATCTGAAATCGCATAAAACTGCGAATCCATGAATGGCATTCGCATATATGCTCACATATACATTCTTCCATACACCCAGTAGAGAAAACGTTTCGAGCCTCTCTTTCAGCATTTACACATAATGCCATCATCGATCAGTCAGTCATGGACGACTCGGGCCGATTAAGACTTGATTGTATTCAAGAGTAAGGTGATTTTCTAATACTCTAACATGTAGAAAATGTTGTGGTACCAAAAATACCAAAAAGAAAATAAACTGTTCCTATTTAAGGACTTATGTATACATATGCCTATATTATAAATATATGTATACATGCATACATATCTGTAGATATGCATAAGAATATATTATATGTCAGCAGAGAGACTCTTCTAGTTCCGCTTTGCAGGCATTACCAGGCAGGCATTCGCTTTTGTCATATCCATGGCCTTTTGGGTTGAACATAAAATCTTGATTATACGTGGTGGTTCAGTAGCAATTCTTTAAGCTGCCATGCAAACACCGTTATAAAGATAAGAAATCGTAAAAACCCTAGGCATTTATTTTTAAAATCACACCATTATCCGCCAAACTGTCAGTCGTCTAAATTTTATGACGCCTTCAAATAGCAAATGTATTTTTAGAAAACCTTTTTGTTAAAAATTTAAATTAAATTAAAAAATCAAACCGAGTAGCTCACTCATAGTTTCTTTGACATTGGAGTTCTTTCAATCTGAAGTGTTTGGAGAAATCTTGAAATCCCAAACCAAATTTGTGAAGTTTTGTCTTAACTGGAATAAAAGTATTTTAAAACGGTAATAGTTTTCCGAGGAAAACTCTTTGTGTTTCGATTTATTTTTTGTTGATCTAACATTTAAATTTCGCTAAGTGCGTTTGCTTGTCATTTACTGGGATTGTTCGGCTCGAAGTCGAAAATCTTAGTATGGGTTTAATTATCTGGAAAAATTGGCGGTTAAAAGTGAAGATACCCATTTCGGTGCCCGGTTCGGCATGTTTTTGCTACGAATTTTTATTTGCTAACTAGTTTAATAGGGTTAATTTATCGTGACCTCGACTTTCTATACAATAGACAATAGTGATTATTATACAGGGGAATGCTAAATGTATTCGACTCACATACAGAATTACAATTCCTCAATGACCCAAATATATTTGTTCCCTGATTGATTCAAATAAATGGTTTGTTTGTAATATTTAGTCAAATTATTTTTAATGAAGCATTTACATTCATACATACACATGTACTTATGCATAAGTACACATGTTTATTTGGAGCAAATATTTAAAGAATCCGGTTGCAAATAAATGTTTACAGTTTACATTGATCTTACTTTCTAGTGTTTGTTTCAATTGCATCAAAATACAATAATAAAAATATCCTACCCAAATACCGCTAAACTCAAAGGCATAAATATGTACATAAGTGTGTGAGCGTTCATATTTGAGTTTGTTTTGTTTTAAAGAGTTTGCTTCATCTGCTGGTTTACCCTGCACTTTACGATTTCTACAAACGTACGAGGGTTACCGCTTACATGTTAGGTTTAAGGTTATCAAGCGCCGTTTTCTCTTCCACTGAAAGGCACATTTTACCATAGACCTAAAAAATCGCAAAAGATCTCGAATGCATCTTTTAGTGTTGCGTGAAATGACGGAACAAGAACGCCATTATATAATATATCGTACAATTGAGGCATACTTGACCATTAGAATGATCATTTTTAATAGATATTTGCATGATGGTTAATTTAGTAAAAAACGTGTATTCTCGTTGAATACAAACAAAATTTAACTGATTATATTTATATGCCACCCGCCAAGTAAAAGTTGAAATAAATTGCGAAAGTTATAGAAAAAGCAATGCCAGCCCACGTATATATATTTGTTTACAAGTAAAATAAAATATACATATGCGAACTGTTTTTAACACTTTGAAAAAAGCACGGAAAATTGCAAAAAGCAAAGAAAATAACATTTAATAATAAAAACAAAATTCAATAAAGAACTATCAGCGTCGAATAAATATTAGAGATCACAATATGGCCAGTTGCCACTGAATGTTTGAACTTTTACTCTATTTGTATTTTGTAAATATTCGTACATACATACAAACACGCGTACATATGTATGTACATACCTGCAAAATCGGCAATACTTCTAAATTTGATTACTCATACGCCCTGTTCAACTGATCGGCATGTTTTTAACATGTTATTTTGTTGGCAATTAGCCAAGTGAACATAGTTTGGCGAGAACATAAGTAATCAAATGAGTTAACAATAAATAATATTGTATGCTGATGGAAGTTGTTCTTTATGAGAGTGTTGACTAAATGCTAAGGTAGAAGGTTGGATTTTTTATGCTTTTGTGTATAGAAACGATTAAATTTTATTTGTGGGAGCTTTGACACCTTATAACTGTGACATACGTCTAGTAACAATACTATAAGTTTTAAGGTATTCACTTCATTTGGGATGGTGACAGATCTCCATTGCTATGGGTATTTGAATATTTTACTTTGGTAATGTTAAAAAATTAAAATAAATAACATGAGAAGATTTATTTACATATGTGCATATGAATACGCACTGATTCTCTGAGTAATATATACTTATGTACTTAATTCACTCGAATACTGCAGTCTCTTAAACTGAAACTCATTCGCCACTATGAAATTATTAATATGATAAGGTACACTTTTAACTAAAACATGCTCTAATTTCTTTACGGCTGAGCTAAAGTTTTACTTTTATTACAATTTACTTTTGTAATCAAAATACGATGTTACGAGTTAAATTTATCTAATGTGATTTGCTGTTCTTATATATAATTATATGTCACTGTGTCCTATTTACACATAAGTATGTTACTCACATGCATATGTGTGCTCGACTGCAACGTTGCAACCAAGCCCATTTATTCGATTTTCTAATATCTCAATTACCTTTGTTGGTACACACGTACATTAATAGGGTGACCGTTATTTGCCAAGTAGATTTTTTTGGCCAACAACGCCTGGAGTTTAAGTTAAGTTTAAGCCCTAAAAAACGGATCCAATGTAAACAAGCTCTTTATTTTAAATTTAAATCGTGCCTTAATCATAATTCTTTTTCCTTGTATATAACGTGATTTGTTGATATTTTTAATTAAACAAGTAAACCTACAACCTTAAAAAAATTATATTATATTACGAAGTCCTTCGCTCTACAAATGCACTGTGGCTCAGTAATTCAGTAACTTGGGCGTTTGCAAAAAAATTAACTTGGTAAATAACGGACACCCTAATGTATATATACTAACAAGTATTAATGAGATTCTCTTCAAATTACCAAACAAAACACACTCCTCTTGAAATTATCCCTATTGACAAGCCGCATGTGAATTTTATCGTAAAAAATATTGCTCACCATATCTATATTTGTTTGTAAATAATAATAATAATAAAAGTAGTAATAATTGTGGCCTTATACCCTTGCTAGAGGTTTCGCCCTCCTTGTGTTATCCAACATCAACCTCAGAATGACCGAGATCTGAGCCCACTGCTTATCAAATGGTAGGCTCATACTCAAAGCGCTTAGCTATAAGTACAAACACATTTATTTACATACCTATATACATGGTACACGCAACGCATGTGCATCGAGTTCAAAATGTCCAAGATTTTTGTATTGCCTATCTGATTCAAATATGTTGTTTATGCTAAAATTGTGTTGGTTTTTTGTTTTTTGGGGTTCACCTCCCATCTACAGATTATTTTGTCAGCACAATATTTCAAGAGTATTGAGCTGAATTAGAAATGCGTTAAATAACTTGGAAAGCAATCAATCAAATGGGCCAGAATTCGACAAAGTTGCTATCGCCCAATTTTCATTGCAATAGATAGAAACCCAGTTATACATAGGTACACATGGGCAAATATACACACACTCGCATAATAAAAACAAAAAGAAAATTATTAAAATTTGACTAAGCAATTAATGTATTTACTTACTTATGTACTTATGTATAATAGTACAAGCAATCGAGGCCAGTGAACATAAATTTGTCTCCAGTTTGTAAAAATATATCGCCGAAGCAGGTGGCTGCTTTTTGGAGAAAAACTAATACTCGTATATCTTTAGGAACAAAATTTCGAAATACAAATAAATGCATGTTGTTGTTGTGAAAATTTATTGAGCTACTTTTGAGTGCACAGACAATTAAAATGGAAGTGTAAACAGCATTAGTTAAGTGATAAAGTAAAAGTGCCGTTAAAGTAGACATGGAATTGACAGTATATCGGCGCATGCAATCTTGATTATCAACTACTCTGCGTTGCCAAGCGTTTTTCACGACAGCCAGTTAAAATCATTTACATCCCGCTCAATTACGTCACATATTCGCACATTTAACTGCACATATACTTGGTATGTACAATATATATATGCATGGAAGTGAAGGGTAGAGTGAAATGCCAAGCGGAAATCGAAAGCGGCCAGATACGCTGGAGTTAGAGGTGCTTGGTGTGCGCCAAACGGAGTCTTCCGACAATGAGGATTGCGGTGTCACCACCCGTGTTCTACCAAGATCACATCACCAAAGTTACCAGCTGCAAACAGAACAAAAAGAGCCGGCACCAAAACCACAATACTTCCATGCAGCCAAGTCGGAATGCGTATCCGCCAGCGTCGAAAAGCCGTCCAGTACATTTCAACAAAAACTATATTCCCCATCGCAGCCGGTTGAAAAACACCAACAAAAATGGTTTCATTTACGTCGCAAACCTCGTCCTACGCCGTCAACAATATCGACATGTGACAGCAACAACGAGCTTACTGCTCATACGAACACTGTTCCACCAAAATTAGCCACGCCGGCGACAGCAGTTGTCGCCAACACAACCACCACAATGTGTACATCGGTGCCCACAAGTCAAACCATACCCGATGTTGCGGCGGTGCTCACGAGGCGCGACTCGAAAAAGCAACGAAGCCACACACACACCGAAAGCCTTTATAGTTTAGCGACGCTTGCTCAGTCGGGTGAAATACGTCAACAACAACAATTTGAACCGAATGCAAACAACGCTTTAGCGAACACAACAATCAACCCTGAGCCCTGGTCAAAATCGAGTGAGAAAGCAAAAGACCTACAGGCAGACATGAAAGCAGTCATTTATTTCAATGAGAACAACGACGCTCCACTCCAAAGTAGCGCATTTATAGATCGAGGCATTCGCGATCATATGTTACTCACTTCTGAGCTAACGTCAGTGGAGGAAGGGGTGGATGCTGCCATGTCAGCACCAGTATCCGGGTTTCAAGCGCGGTTTTTGTCTATTTTGGGAAAGTTACCAGGTTGGAAGCACAGTGGAAGCATGGGTCGGCGATCTCGTACGACTGTCGCGACAACAGCGTCGATGGCAGGTGAAGGATCGTTGGGTGTCAACGATGCGACAGAAAGTATAAGCGTCCATAAAAACCAAAAATTCAATGCCGACTTTGAACAGTTTACGATGTCGCAGGTTGGGAACGGTGCTGGTAGTGATAAGGGTGTTCGAAGACTGTCACAAATGCGACGTCGGCGCAGTTCATACTACTTCTCCGGTAAATGGTCTTATATTCAAGTTATTGTCGTAATTAGAAGTTCTTACTAATCATAACCTAAATATTTAGGGTAACTAGTGGTTTTTAAGTATTAATTTCTTTAAATACGAGGACCACTTATGACCTTGGTTCCCTCTCGAAAATTAATAACTGACTCTTTCTCTCAAATCTTTCTACACAATATCATATAATTTCGTCAAATTCAATGACGTTGGTTATTCGGTATTAAATTTACTTTTCAAAAAGTACTGCCGAAACATTCAATATCACTGTTGTATATTCAAACCCAACAAGGAAAATTATATTTCGAGATGAGCTCCCAAGTGGCTATGAAAGAAAGAATCCGAAATGTCATTAGTTATATTTTACGCACAGTTGGTATTTTGAAAAAAAAAAATTTGTTTTCATGAAATTGAATTTCTAATGAATTTTTTCTTCATTTATTGCAGAGAATGAACGCAGAATTCGAGCCAACGACCGAGAATTTAATGCACAATTCAAATACGCCGTAAGTATTTCATTTTCTCTCTTTATTGACAAATACCCATTTCATTTTAATACTGACACTTCATATTTATGCAAACACGACCCACACAAAGAAGCTTATCGGATCTGAAGCGTATCCTGCAGACGAACTTGTGTTTATGAGCATATGTATGTGTTTGTAAATATTGGCACATTTCGTTTAATATTGCAAACCGATGATACAGATAGCGGAAATAAAAGAGAGATTAACCAAAATGCCTTGCCGAAATTATCACCGAAGCAACAACGTACATAGAATCAAGCATATGCATGCAACAGTTAATACAACTCCAACATAATTGTACTTGCGCACGCCACTAACGCGGCAAAAAGTGGCATCACATTTTTCTGAAATCATTCGCAATCGCCCACGTAAAAGGGCTCAATTAGTAGACCCTGCATGCTAGTATCGAACAATTTCGTTATTTTTTAACCGTATTTGCAATGGCACATTGGCATTCCAGTGTTCATTCAATCATTTATTCTGACCGAGACCGAGACCGAGCGACGCGCAATTCGGTCGGGTGCGTATACACTCATCAGTGTATGTGTGTAAGTATAGGCTAGCTTCTCATTGATCTTTGCGACCGTTGACGCTCAAGTGGCACACGCACAGGCACACTTACAAATGTACGTCAGCACAGTCGGCAGACGGTAGCAAATATCACGCGAAAAGGTATTGCACTAGAATAAAAAATGGACAATTGCTCGTGTCTCGGTATGTGTATGCGCCGCGTAAAAAAGGTACAATTGGGTGATATTATTTGCGGAACTACCGGATTTGATTGAAAAATATTTTGCAATAGTAAAGCTTATATCTTATTTCGTTGCTAAGCAAAGGCAAATATTCCAATCAACATGTGTGTATTGTAGTTATCCCAACTATGCGAGCTTGGTGGATCGAAAAATACTTGATATAGTAGACTACCTAAGAAAGTTAAAGCTGTTTTATTCAAACTAATATTGAAATCATCAATTCGCAATAAAAACATGATAAATAAATTTCGACATACGGAAATTTCGATCATAAACTTCGATGTCGATGGGGTGGCGTGCCAAATTGGTTCTCTGCGTGCCGTTGAGCTATGATCTATATGGCCATTTGTGTCACGAAAATATGTACGATGTTTTTGTTTGATGTAATTGCAGTTAACTTTACAACTTTGCCGATCAGACAGATCTAACCCCTTCACTTTTTAGAAGCGCGACTGCACCTGATTTAATTAGCGTACCTCTGTATGGATTGGTCCACAAACTGCAAAAGGAAAATCTTGAAATGATTATGCGACAACCACTTACAAACTATTATTTAAAAGAGTCATTAGTTCCGAGAAAAGCCAACTTATTAAAATTTATTTTATTAAAAATATTAAACAATTTGTTTAATGAATTTGTTGATCTTCTCTTTCCTCTAGGACAATTTCATCAAAACGTCTAAATATACACTGCTAACGTTTTTGCCATTCAATCTGCTCGAACAATTTCAACGTCTTGCCAATTTCTATTTCTTGTGCTTATTGGTGTTGCAGCTTATACCAGCGATATCGTCATTAACCCCCGTTACCACCGCCATACCGTTAATTGGCGTATTAACATTGACAGCCGTCAAAGATGCCTACGATGACATTGTAAGTAATTAAACATTTATGAACTATATATATACTCATACATTCACGAGTGATATTATAATATATTATATTTGGTGCAAATGACTTCACTTAATTATAAGTTCATTTTTATTTCTCTTATTTAGAGTTGCACGGTACTTGGGCAGGCAGTAATAGCGCATAATTAACCCTTTTTGGCTTAAACGATGCAACTCTATATGGTACATCCTTTTTCGTAGCTTTTTCTCTTTTTAATATTTTGATCAGTTTAAAAATTAGTATTACCATATAATACTTAAACCATCTTTTAGCTTTGCTTATAGGTAAAAATATGTTCTTTTATTCCCTTTGCTTTTAAGAAAAAATACAACATTTCAACCTTTGAGTAATCCTTAAAATCAAATTAATTAATTTTTTTGTCTCCCCTTAATTGGTAATGTTGTGAAAAACAGATGTCATTTAGAGACTGTAGTAGAAATGATTGAAGGTGTTATGTAGGTTCTGGAAATTCGTATGCAAATAATTTGTAATTTAAAGCTCACCCTTAAATATTTAGTCTATCTCTGAATCTTGATCTAATTAGCAATATTACATTAATACCATCCAGATATGAACTTACTCTTATTAACAGAATAAGTAAACTTTAATCATGTTACCTATGGGATGTTTCCTGTATATATTTTATTAAAAATAAAAATATGAATTATTACTATTATTATAATCCATTATCATAGTACTTAATTGAACTAGTTTCATTACATATTCGAAAAATTGTTTTTCCTTGATCGATATCTATGTCGGACTTTCAGTTTTTTCCTGTTTGCATTTATTTTTTCATCTTTCATTTTTTTCATCATCTTCTCCATTTCCTCTGTGAATTGTCCGATAGTGCCAGCTTCACTCATCCCATGCACAAATTTTAGAAATAACTAGAACTGGGACTAAATAACGGACTTAGAAACGCAACGGCACGCGTTTTCCATAAGTCAGTCGAGAAAGTTTTATGTTTAGAAAACGTACTCTCGCCTGCGTAAGATTTTAAAAGGCAATCGTTATAAGTATATAACATACGTACACATGTATTTAGATTATATGTATGAGTATTTATTACAACTCATAAATATTTACAATTTCACTATTTTTGAATTCTCTCATTACGAATTCATGGTGCACGAACCTTGAACTACATGACGTCTTCAATTGTATTTTGCAGCAACGCCATCTGTCGGATTCTCAGGTGAATAATAGAAAATCGAAAACATTGAGGAACGGTCAATTAATCGATGCTAAATGGTCAGGAGTTCAGGTAAGATATTGTTTTTTTTAATATTGAAAAAACTTGGAAAATAAATTGATAGAGAAATTTCTTGAAAAGGCTTTAAGTATTTAAGCTTAATGCAGTAAACACTTGAGTGTCTTTAAATATATGCCCATATAACCTATATATGTTTCGGAAAAAGAACTATATAATATATTTGAGTATACCCATTGACAGGTTGGAGACGTGATACGTCTGGAGAACAATCAGTTCGTGGCAGCCGATATCCTCCTGCTGACAACATCCGAACCGAATGGCTTGTGTTTCATCGAAACAGCCGAATTGGATGGCGAAACGAATTTAAAATGTAAGCAGTGCTTGCCAGAGATCACTGAATTGGGTCAGCGGCATGATCTTTTGTGGAATTTTAATGGTGAAATAATCTGCGAGCGGCCAAATAACTTACTGAACAAGTTCGAGGGCACACTCATATGGCGAAACCAGAGGTATGCGCTCGACAATGAAAAAATCCTACTTAGAGGCTGTGTTCTACGCAATACACAATGGTGCTATGGTCTTGTCATATTTGCGGGCAAGGACACAAAACTAATGCAGAACTCGGGCAAAACACAATTCAAAAGCACTGGTGTTGATAGACTGTTAAATTTTATAATAATCGGGGTGAGTCGAAATTATTATTTTTTTTAACAAATGTATTAATTTATTATTGTATATCTATAAATATTTTTTTATTTCATGTTTTAGATAGTACTTTTTCTACTTTCTATATGTGCGTTCTTTACCTTGGCCTGTGCCATTTGGGAAAGCTTTATTGGTCAGCATTTTCAGGTAAAGAGTTTGCTTAGTATATTATGTACGGAATGTATTAATAAAACTGTAATTAGCACTTTTAAGTCGATGTTTTCTTTAAAGTTCGTTTAAAAGAAATACCAATTTTTCAAGCAAATAAAGTTGTGTTTTCTCAAATGAATATGCATCGTTTTTAGATATTTCACATTTTTTAATATTTTTTGCTCCACCATAAAAGTTTTACCTTTGACTTACCGACACATTTCTGTTTAATTTTACAGCTATACTTACCTTGGGAAAACATCATACCAAAAAATGTTGCACAAGGCTCCACCGTTATTGGTCTGTTGGTTTTCTTTTCCTATGCAATCGTCTTAAATACTGTTGTGCCAATATCTCTCTACGTTTCAGTAGAGGTAAGCCAAGATTACTATAATCTACAAACATACTTATCACCACGTTCCTTCCCTCTTCGTGCAGGTTATACGTTTCGCGCAATCATTTCTCATCAATTGGGATGAGGAAATGTACTATGAACGCTCGAAAACTCATGCCAAAGCACGTACCACCACACTCAACGAGGAGTTGGGGCAAATACAATATATATTTTCGGATAAAACTGGCACACTAACACAAAATATAATGACATTCAACAAATGCAGTATTAACGGTCGTACCTACGGCGACGTGTTTGACCTGCGTACGGGTGAAGTTATCGAGGTCACAGACGTAAGTAATAACCGTACACCACTACTCCATTTGAAATGAGAATGCGTTCCTAACAAAATATGTATTATATATAAATTTGAGTTAACCAGTTTGGGCTCTTCTCTAGACCCAGGTGTTTTCTGTTCGTTAACTATACAAAGACACACTTCTCTACCAAAGAACGAAAATTATAAGAATTAAATTTATTTCTAAAACCAAATATCCTTCACACTAACGACTTCTTCTAACACTTATTATAATTGGTAGCTGCAGAGGTAATGCATGCAGTTAAAAACAGAAAAAAATACAAAAATATTTACAAACAAACCCAAGTCCTTCTAATATCATTTTGCGACTAATATAATATAATTACATAAAATAATGGAATTTGAAAATATTATGAATAAGGCCTTGCTTGGTATTATTTTCAGTCAAGAAATTACGCTTCAACTAAATATATTCAAAACATGACACAAATTCCTTAAATGCACATTTTTATGTAAATTTCTATCTATCTGCACAAGTTTCAAATTAAAGTTTAAGAAAAATGTAAGTTCGCATTTTGACGGTGAATATAAAAGTAGTCGCATTAGGCGATTTTTGCACACTACCAAGCGCTGACATACCCGCTCACACACGAGTTCCTCTCAAACAACTTGAGTAGGGGACATCCTTCCAGAGCTTCCCACATCTTCACTCTCCTGCTATTCACATCAGCTGCCACACATGTGATGTAGTTTTCTTTTTGAAATTTGTAATGAAACTTTTGAATTTTGTTCTTAGTAAACGAAAATCCTTAAACCATATTCCTCGTTGTAGAAGCAAAAATATGTACAGAATTGCAACAGTAAATTGAGTGGCAGCAATGCCAGCAACAAAAGCACACCGGCACCAACAATATTATTGCACAGCGCCGAAGTACATCCGAAGAGCACAATTATGGTCTCCAGTCCTGAGGAAGGTGGCACGGCTGATACCTCCATAGCACCACCAAGCTTAACAACAACACCCAAAGAAGTTCCATTGCCCATCACTACTACAACGACCACTCAAGCCGCTGTGGTGAACCCATTGGATGATGACACCACACCATCTCCAACGAACAACCAGCGTCATGTCCAATACGATGAGAGTTCCATGGACACGACTGTCACAGAAGTGAATGCGCACCAGTCACCAACATGCCAAATACAAGACCAGTTCTCCACGCTGTCCAATTCAGGCGATAAAGTAATGATATTCGGTGATCTTGACCCGCCGCACAAGGCACTGATTGTGTCTTACAACAACAGTAATACCACATGCTGTACACCCATAACCAATGCTTGCACAAGCACCAAGAAATCACCGTCGATCAACGCTACATTACTGCCATTGACGATAGTGAATACACCAACAACATCCACACCAACATTATCACCAGTATCAACAAGATCATCTTCATCATTGAAATTGTCATCGTCAACATCATCGCTCACACAAATAACAAGAACAATGCACTCAGATTCACTATCGCAAATAGCGGCATTTTTAGTCGAACCACTATCGCCCACCAGCCCCTCATCAAGCACACGAAAAACAAGCCTTAAAACAAATACGAAAAACATTACCAAAACAAGTGTGCAATGCTCCGCCTGCAACTGTCGTCAAGTTCTGAAAGGGTCACGCTCAAAGGGCAGTATGACATCCAAATTGAAGTCGAGCATAAAATCGCAGTCCAAAAAAATGCTAAAGCAAAAATGTGACAATTGTACAAAATGCACAAATCTAAATCACAATAAAAGCGTCCGCATCAATACCAACACCGACACCGACATGGGCAGCAAGAGCAATTGCAAAAACAGAAACAACACCACCACAACAAGCACCAACAATGTATTTAATTTTTATGCCACCGGCTGGAGCTCGTCCCACCACCAACAAGTGCACGTATGCATGCGTTTTGTAATTGACTAAATGTATTTTGTGCGCTCGATTTAATGAATGTTCGCTCGAGCAGTTCAAGCCCCGGTCCCAGTGGCTTAGACGCTTCATGCACCTTAGAAACAAATGTTTGCTTTGAGTTTTCAAATTATTTTAAGTTTTCGAAAACCTTTCCTCTGCCTAACTGCTTTGATGTCGCTGAATTTTTGTTTCTTTTTTATTTTGCACGATTCTTTTGAAATAGCTAGTTACATAAGTATATGACTAAAATATTTAATTAAGAAGATTAAATAAATTGTCTAAGATTATGTATTTAACTAACTACTAAAACTGGCCCTTGAGCCAAAAACCGTTCAGGACGCTTCAACTAATCTCAAATCTAACATCAAACAGCATGACCCTGCTTTGGATCCATTAAGAAATATGTTACATATCTGAATAAAAACATATATACCTACAATTAATTACCGTTTTGAAGCTCTTATTTGTATTTACCTAGTGTAATTAAAAATATGGTTGTATAACTCATATTTCCATCGGCAACACATTAAACCAATATATGTACATAATAAAAACACTATCACGCTTAATCCATTTACATACATACATCATACAATTCATACATTTCGACATGCTAATATTTTGACATTCACACTGATGAAATAACCGAACAGCTCAACTAATTTTTTAATGTCTTTTTCAAGGCTCTTGAACCGGTGGACTTTTCGGCGAATCCAGAATTCGAGCCAGACTTTCGTTGGTACGACAAGACGCTGCTGGATGCAGTGCGTTCTGACGAGGTGCATTCGCAAAATTTCTTCCGCCTGCTCGCGCTTTGTCACACCGTGATGCCCGAGTATGTGGAGGGCCGCCTAGAATACCAGGCTCAAAGTCCCGACGAGGCAGCTTTGGTGTCGGCAGCGCGAAACTTCGGTTTCGTGTTCCGTTCACGAACGCCAAATAGTATAACCATAGAAGTGAAAGGGAACCGAGAGGTTAGCAACTTATTATGCGCATGCGCTTATTATAACTTAATCTGTCTATTCTTTCTTGCAGGAGTATGAGCTTCTAAATATTATAGACTTTAATAACGTGCGCAAGCGTATGTCGGTGATATTGAGACGAGGTGATGACATTATACTGTACTGCAAAGGTGCTGACAATGTGATTTACGATAGATTAAGTACTAGTCAAAACGATAATAAGGCGCGTACCCAGGATCATTTGAATGTAAGTTTTCGACTTTTTTTCAATTGTTTGAAGTTAATTTTCTTAACTATAAATGTGAGCTCAACTAATGTGTTACCTTGAACTTGTTTTAAAGTTAAGGTACTTAATTGAGAAGCAGCACAATATCGTTTTTTTAATTTCGAATAATGTTATAAAAATCCTTTACAGAAATTCGCTGGCGAAGGTTTACGAACGCTGGTACTCGCCGAAAGACGTCTTGACGAAGCCTACTACATGGATTGGTCGCAGCGTCAACAAATAGCGGCAGTTTCCTTAGATGCGCGCGAAGAGAAGCTCAACGCCATGTACGAGGAGATCGAAAGCGACTTGATACTCGTCGGTGTGACGGCGATCGAAGACAAATTACAGGATGGTGTACCTCAGACGATAGCCAACCTACAAATGGCCGGTATAAAAATTTGGGTACTGACCGGCGACAAACAAGGTGCGTAAATAGACAAAAATGGAAAAAATAAAGCAGCAAATTTATTTCAAAACATTTATTTAGAAACGGCTATAAATATTGGCTACTCCTGTCAGTTGTTAACCGATGAGTTGGCCGATGTATTCATCGTGGACGGCAGTTCACTGGAGGAAGTCAACAAACAATTGCGCCAATTCCGTGAATCGGTGCGAATACTCAATCGGTTTAGACCAACGCGTAAGCACTGATGAGAAGCACGCACAATGAATGCATACTAATTCGAATTAATATTTCTTTCTTTGATCTTCGCCTAACTGTTTGCAGCGCTGGAACCGACAGTTAACTTGAATCTCAATTTAAATGGTGCGGATAGTGCCGATCGGAACTCATCTGTGATGTATGGCACTGGACTGCGTACACGGACCTCGCCGCCGCCAGCGCCAGCGATATCGGTGGTTACCTTTAGGTGGGATGATGACAAAATTAAGCATAATAAGGGCGAACCGGACAGGTAGAGGGAACTCCAAAACAAACGCCACACATTTACACCTACCTACAAACACTATCTATTTCTCTGCTATTCCTCTACGTTTTTCGTTTATTTAAATATATATTTTTTTTTTAAGCGAAAACGGTATTCGATGATTTAAACTATTCTTCTAGTTATGATTTGAATTTAAATATCCTACTGAAATGCTTGAGATTGACATGAAAAACTATAATTTTCTAAATTCCGAGCTTAAACTTCACAGAATTATGCATACGTAAATAATTGGTGTTATTTCGTAGATATATATCGTACATGTAGTATATGGCCACGAGGCAATGTTTTATTTTTGGTTATTCACTTAAGTTAATAATGCATTAACCTCAGTAAATAAAAATAAAAGAAGAAAAATATTATATTCGAAAAGGACTAGCTGAATAGACGTAGCTCAAAAAAGATGACCCCACATTTTCATCAAAACTTTTAACAGTTCTTTTTAGTATACATTTCGATAAGTTTACAGCTATTATTTGGTAATTTTACCTATCACAAATGGACCAATACTTATCGAAAGTTTCTTCATCCGGTATAATATGCTGTATAGTTGGTCACTACAATCTGTTTTATTTTAACACCCACACGCTGGTACTGTTGGCAGATGTTGACATCGGGCGTATAAGTAATATTTTCCATAACGAGATAAAAAGTAATTTAATATAGCCGATTTAAGGACGGCGTGAAAGGCCTGACTGCTAAGCTGATGTTATAGTTAAGGAACACTCTTGCATACATACATTTACTTTATCTATATTTATTTGCTCCCATGAGCGTCTGCTTCTTTGTAAAAAGACGTCTTGGACCGATCCATGGAGATATCTATAAATTTAATTTACCTCTGTTATAATTATTTTCGAGCTATTCCATCTAAGAAATGCGCTCACCGGACCATTTACTAAACCATTTTCGATATAGTTGGATTTGAATCCATCAACCTATCGGGGCAGCGTCTCGGACTCAGCGCACTGGTCTACAGCTACTCCGGTTTCCGTTATCAAATTCTTAAAATACTTGTCGCCAAATCATCAATTTCAAGTTTAGCTAAATGAGAACTTTAAGTTGGGAATATACATTTTGTAGCGTATGTACTTGTATATAAATGTAAAATTTTTAGTTTCCACCAAATTAATTAATGCTTAGAACACAAACTCTTTACATACAAACTTATACATTGGTTTCTAAGAAATCTGTAACTTAAAGATATTGCAATCAATGATTCGATTATATTGTACAAGGATGATCCCCTCTATTGGTACTTGTTTCGCCCGGAAAGTAAATACATGTTCCTTAATTCAAATTTTTTAACACATTTAATAATTATATTTAATCACGCATTGTTGTTCGTTCCAATATTCATTGTTAAATACATAGCAAAACTTGCATTCTCGTATAGTTTTATCTACATAGTTATGTACACACATACATGCATACATATAGTATTTGAGAATGTGATTGTAAGCTTCTTTTTGTGCATTTATCTCGTTTTTCATGCATCATATAAGGCATCATATTGTTGCAGTTGCTTTAATTATTGTTGAAAGTTTAAATACCATAATGTTTTAAAGTTTTACGCTGATTATGTATGTATGTATGCTTTTAACACATGTAAGTCTTATTTCGGAAAGTTATCAAACGCTAAATAGCAATCAAGCGTTTAGAAACTGCCAATTAAAGTTGGTTGCGTTGCTTTTGTTAACTAATTGTTTCGTCCTGTTTGTTAATCAATAATCAATCATGTCTAAATCGCTCCTCATTTGTACCACCCAACACACACATACAGTCACTTAAGAATTGAATTAAAACATCCCTCCGTTAAGTCAATTAACGGATTCTCCATACATTTATAGGTATATATGTATGTGCGCGCACAATTCGCTAATTGACTCAACTAGGGACTGTCTGCAATCTTCCAATTACGCCCAACAAATATCGAGTGTGTAAATGCATGTTGGAAACTCTCACAGATACTTAGTTAGTTTAAAAAGACTGAGTTGAAGTGTGAAAAGTGTCATTTGCCATTCTGTCGCTCACCCGCATGATCTATGTAAATATGTGCGTTCATACATTTCTTCCGCCTGCTGTCCTTGTACAAAGTGCCATTTAAGCGTTTATTTTAATTTTCTCTATGTGTACCTCTGAGGATATTCAATATTTTCATAAAATGTTAACGGTTATTATTTCCAATTCACCGCAGCGCCGAATGCAATGAACTGTATGACAATATTGAGAAGGGTGAAGACGGCACGAGTGCGTTGCATCCGGATGAAATCATTGAGGAGAATACAGGATTCGCTATTGTTGTAAATGGGCATTCGCTTGTCTACTGCCTCTCACCGGAATTGGAATCAAAGTGAGTTCTTTCACTCGCTCTCTCCCGATAACACTTCTCATACTTTTTTAGCCGCTTCAATTACTATACTTGTATTGGTTTTTTTGTATTTATTCATAAATATCCGATTTCTTATTCCATTATACCATTCCAGCGACGTATTTTTTCTCATTAATACTAAAATTATATTTTTCTTTTCGGCACTGAATTTAGATTCCTGGATGTGGCTTCACAGTGCAAGGCCGTTATTTGCTGCCGCGTTACGCCTCTACAAAAAGCCTTGGTGGTGGAGTTAATTAAGCGCGCCAAGAATGCTGTAACGCTGGCAATCGGCGATGGAGCCAATGACGTTTCAATGATCAAAGGTAATGTAACAGCCCAAGTGTCCGTGATACCATATGTTAATGTGTAATTCCAGCTGCTCACATAGGCGTTGGCATCTCAGGCCAAGAGGGTTTGCAAGCGGTACTGGCTAGCGACTATTCGATAGCACAGTTCCGCTACTTAGAGCGTCTCCTGCTCGTCCATGGCCGTTGGTCATACTATCGCATGTGTAAATTCTTGCGGTATTTTTTCTATAAGAATTTTGCATTTACTTTGTGCCACTGCTGGTATTCGTTCTTTTGTGGCTTTAGCGCCCAGGTATATACCCACATAAATAAATATAAGAAAAAAAAACCATATTGCTAATGATGACTGCATTTTGAATATTTAGACGGTGTTCGACCCAATGTTCATATCAGTATACAATTTGTTCTATACCTCACTGCCGGTGCTAGCTTTGGGGGTATTCGAGCAAGATGTCTCCGACAAACACAGCATAGAATATCCAAAGTTATATACACCCGGACTGAAAAGTCAACTGTTCAACACGCGCGAATTTGTTTACAGTGTTCTGCATGGTGCCTTCAGTTCGCTCATATTATTTTTAATACCATACGGTAATAAGTATATTTGTGATATGCCATTTTTAATTCGTATTGAATAAATGTATTTGCTGGACTTTTAGGCACTTACAAGGATGGTATCTCCCCAAATGGTCTCATACTAAGCGATCACATGACCTTGGGCGCGGTTGTTGCCACCATCCTCATAATTGACAATACAGCACAGGTAAATACATATCTTTATATGGACGCCTATGTATGTACGTTAAAAATGTATGATACGAATGAGTTATATTATATACGTATATATGCATTAAATTCCTCAGATAGGCTTGTATACTTCATATTGGACGATATTTAATCACATCACCATTTGGGGTAGCTTGGTATGCTTTTTCGTATTGGATTACTTTTATAATTATGTCTTCGGTGGCCCCTATGTGGGCTCACTGGCGATGGCCATGAAGGATTTGACCTTCTGGGCGACAATGGTAATAACAGTTATTGTGATAATGGCTCCTGTGTTGGCCTATAAATTCTATCTAATCGATGTACATCCTAGCCTAGCTGATAAGGTAAGAAATTGCAGCAAATATTTGCCTAACTGAGAGACCTATTTTTAACAATTATTCATTGTCTTCCAGATACGTCTTAAATGTCGCGTAAGCACTCGTCAGTCACGGCAGAGTAACATGGTAATGCGAACACCTTCGGCGAGAAAGGCACGACGATCATTGCGCTCTGGTTACGCATTTGCGCATCAGGTGAGTTCGACGATAAGTTGTAGAAGATTTGCTATTATATCTCAAATAGTTTATAAGACACATTAAGCTTATTGGAGAGTGGGGCCACGGCCACTATTCAGACATTTTTAAACCACGGACTCCCCTCCCTATTGCAACCGCTTGTACCAATTTTTGCTTTTATAGCGTAATTTGTGACTTAATGATTTTTCAAATAACGCCGCTTTCTGGCCGTGGCAATATAACGTGGCAAAAAATCACACTTGTAGTACAATTGGAGACAGTTTTTGTGTTCGCATTTGGAATTATTGAGTACCAACCATACTTGATACATTTGATATGCTTGACTCTTTTCAGGAAGGCTTTGGTCGACTTATTACCTCGGGCAAGATTATGCGAAAATTACCACAGGATTTCGCTTTTCCATTGGGCCTGGGCAGTAAAAAGTTACAACCGCAAACGATGGATGGCAACGACGGAAGAAATAATCAAAACAATAATAACAGCACCCGAAGTAACAAAAATTCGTCGACAGGATACCTCAACGACACCGACGCCGAAAGTGCGGCTGGGGGTGGGAGCAGCAATGGCGCTCATAGTGACGAAAACGTAAGCCCCCGTGCACCTTGCCAAGACTTAGATACAATTAATCTTTAAGTTAATTATTGTGTGTATGTATGTGTAGCGTAAAGAGAGTGAACATTGAACGATTGGCAAGCATCGACAGTTCAATCCATATGACACCAAAAGAATAAACCAAAAAGCAAATTAAAAATGCACATTGCAAAGGAAAAGTGGAACTTGAACAAGTAGAAAGTTTTAACAAAATGCTGTAGCAATTAGTTCATAATTATTTAAGAACTCTACAATCAACTAGAAATCCCAAGAACCTTTATAGTCATAGAATAATGTTAACAATGTATGATCAGGTGATTGTGTTTAATTATCTACTATTTGTGAATATTTTGATAAAACTAAACAAATAGTAAGAAAAAACTGTATTATGAAATCTGTAAGGCGGAAGTTAAGAAATACAAAATTTTTGAAATGAAAGCTTTAATCCTTAGTAAACAGCTTTAATGAGATTTAAATAAGTAATTGAACCTTTTTATGCAGAAGTAATATTTTCATTCACATATACATATATGCATGTGTGTACATAATAAAGCAGTTCTTCAATATGGCTTAGTCTCAAGGTGCAAAATGTACAAAATTCTTCTCATCTATCAATATATGAAAATGTTGGAATTTTTACAATTATGTTAGTGCGTAAAATATGTGAAAAAGAATCTCAAAGAGATAAGAGAGGCCGCGATACATATACAAACTCAAAGATGCTGCATACTGCATAAAAGTACTCACAAGCATACGCAAACTCATAAAAATAAAAATGTATAAAATCACAAATTTTTAACAATTTCTTAAAGAAGCATCGATGTTTCAACAACTATATGATATGAGCATAGATCTAAAATAGTACTTTGAATTAGGCAACTTTCTTAGTAAGCCAGTGAATACACTATTTACATACATACTTAATTAGTTTATAAACCACATTTTCTATAATGCTTATTTAATAAGAGACGTCAATAAATAAGGGAAACATGTTTATACTTTTAATTGATTTCATCCTTCAAAAGAACTTTATAATATATCCAAAGTACCAAACAGAAAGGGACGAGGTTTCATGTATTTGTATTTCTTGATACCCAATTACCCTTTTGTATGAGCAAATACGCTTGATATTATTTGTTTAATGAGCGTAATCAATATAATGTCTGTTGTCGTCGTTCTAGCCACTTGGGCTGGCCCCATCCGGACAATAAATATCCAAAAAACTTTGAATAAACATAATTATTTTCAACTTTATTTATCGTTAGTATTGCCGTACCTGTCCATTGTTTTCGCAATTAAAAAAAGGGAAAATATACAATAATACTAAACTGATTGGGCTTTGCTATAATTTTCTGTATTATATAGTTCAATGCTAAGTTTGAAACGAAGAGACAACAATTTTAAGGTATATTTATCAGTTACACAAAATTTTGTATTTACGTAAGGATAAATTTTAGCGTGCTTATACATACATACGTATTTAGTGATGAAGAGAAATCCCATTACAATAAGCATAATAACATTTCATCGGAATTGAAAATCTCTGTTGAAAAAATAGTCGTGTAAAAGGTTATCGAGTGTATATCAAAAGTTATTTTTTTTTAAATAATAATGAAAATTATTATACACGACTTTTCTAACACGTTTTTTTATTATTTTCTTTTTAAATGTGAAAATTAAGATCTAAAAGAAAATGCATATTTCTTACGCATAAACCGGTAACCGAATGAAAAGGGAATTGAATGTATGCATACATATACATATTTAAACAAGGAGGTTAATGCCGCTGTACGATTAGTTTTTACACTATCATATACCATATGTAAAGCTAATTTCGCAATAGAACAAATATTAAACTATATAAATCAAGAAACATGTTTTTTTTTACAATGACACTGCAATATTTATTGAACTTTTAGTTGAACAAAACATTTACTTTTATAATTATATTTTTAAGTTAACTGCTCACGAATAAGACGATGAATGTTTCATTGAAATAAGTGTTACTAAACAAATAAACTGGAATGCATGTACCATTGAAAATTGAAATTATCCGTGGTGAGTTGTTACCTAAACATACAAAGCATTGTGATTAATTACAAATTTTTTTATATAAAGCCAAAACATCTCACGAGTAGTCTTAAATCTTGCCTGCTCGCTTTACTTAGCACGTCAATGTACATTGACGTTCGATTCGTATAAAAAAACTAGCAAGTGTACTTATGTCTGTATTTAAGGTAGGGCTTATAGTAGTTTTACTCATATATACTATATATAGTTACACGCATTCAGCGCTAAATGCTTTTTAATTGGCAATTTATCGGTAGGTGAAGTACACATTGTACTCTTAGCGTGTAGTATAGTAGAGGCGCATGCGCTCCGTTATCATAGTTGTACCTATTCAAAATGTATTTATAAGGCGCTTAAGTTTTGAACATTGATGCTGAACATTGTTTTTAATAAAGAATATTGTATTTTTACATATACTAAATTGAGTTTCTTTTTAACTTGATATATGTACATATTAATATGAGATATGATAGAATAAAAACAACAGATAAAATTAACAATTCATATATTTGAATTGCAATTATTATTATTATCATTAATAACCGATTGTAATCTTAATCAAAAAAGTTTCTTTGGCACAGTGCCACCTTCTAAGGCATCAATGAGCTTTCGTTTGAGGTTTGGTCTTTCCTCGGCAGCTTGCTTGTTACTCGAAGGCATTGGTAGTTTGTGCCCCATTGATGGTGCCGGTTTGTTGGAAAAGTATTTCATACATAATGCCTCCGTACACGTGCAGCGTTGTGCTGGATTAAGTGCTAATAACTTTTCCGCCAATACGATAAGATCATCAGGCGCAGCTGTGAAGATATGTTGTAAGGGAATTGCAGGAAACTGTTTGAATTGCATGTAATCAGGTAATTTATTTAAATTCGGCCAAGACTCCTCAGTAGGTGTGCCAAGGGCTTGAAAAATTTTCGTAAGCTGGTCAAGATCTGAGTCGCCTGGCAGAAAAGGTACACGTAATAGTAATTCTGCAAGTATGCACCCTACAGCCCAAATATCAATTCCAGTGCTATATTGGCGCGCGCCAAATAATAGTTCGGGTGCCCTATACCATCTTGTCACTACTTGATGTGTGTATATGCGATTAGGCGAACCAAAAAATTTGGCCAAACCGAAATCACCGATTTTGAGTACACCGTCAGTATTAACCAATAAATTGTTTGGCTTCAAATCTCGATGCAGAATCCAGTTCATATGCAAATACTCTAAGCCACTTAAAGTCATAATCATGTAAGCTTTTATATTTGCCTGTGTGAGTATAATTTTAGGGTCTTTAATGATAATTTCCAAATCGGTATCCATAAAGTCGAACACTAATGATACATTTGATTTATGACCAAATACGTCTACTAAACCAATAACATTTTCATGTTGCAGCTCATGTAGCAACTTAATTTCACGTAAAGCAGTGCGATTTATACCATCCTGAGCCTCTTCTCTGCTTCCTATTTTAATCTTTTTCACTGCGACAATCTGATCGGTGAGCACATCCCGCGCCTTATATACTGTGGCAAACTGAAAAGAGGCAATAAATTGCAATAATCGCTACTAAACTACCTTGTGTAAATTATATATTTAATATTTACCTGACCTTCGCCGAGAAACGCAATTTTCTCATAACGAGTTAGCTTTCCGTCCAACTGTTGCATTTATATTTTTTATACTTTACAAACAGATATATTGTAACAAATGTTTATCTATGTCAGAAAGTTACCACCCCACTTCTTAACTATATTTTGTTTTTAATCGACCGGCGTAAAGACTGCGATGGAAATAAATATTGCAACTATTTCTGTGCTTACAAATTACACATTTATAATAATGCCAGATTCAATGACAAGAGGGCGCTGTACAAAGTAACTACCCGTTTTCAATGTGAATTATCAATATTTTCAATAATTGCTCTAATACTACTATGAAAAAATTTAGTAAATTTAAATAAACAATTATCTGAATTTAATTATTAAAATCAGTTTGTTTTTACTTGATAATGAGTAGAATTTATGTTACATCAAAGTATTGCCAACAAGAGATAAAACAATTGTCAATAAATGTCAAATAAGCTCCCTTGCTAACCTGGCGGATGTGTGAAAATGAACGAGTTTGGCAGCACTACGTGAACATGTTCTTTTTCTGGCGAACGCCATTACTGTCTGGAACGAAGGCAAATTTTCTGAGCTTAAAAGTAAGAAATTTGTAATTACAAATACTTTCAATATCAATTAAAGAACTCAATATTCAATCAAAACCATCAAGCTAATGATGCAGTGAAATTTAAATGCTTGCGCGATGAATTGTGACAAGTTTAAATTTGAGGTTAAAACGCTAGGCGAAGCCACTGATTAAGTGTAATTTTTAACACAACTTCACACGTGTGCCTGTTATTTATTATATGGTTTTCCAAAATCCGTCCATTATATGTACAAGTGACCACAACTAATACAAAAAAAATAATAGGAAGTGTTTAATAAGTCCATAACTAAAACCATACACGCTGTAATTTTGGCATATATGGTATTCAATTGGACAAAATAAATATTGGTTAACTATTCCTCTTAAGGGTATCGGTTAAAAGATAAAGTCCTTAATAAAGTAATACCAACATAATTATAATTACATACATATAAGAATTTAATCGTCCATAACTAAAACCGTATGCACTTAAATCGTTAGTATATGCGGTATTCAATTGGACTATATAAAACTTATGGTTAACTATTCCTCTTAAGGATATCGCCTTAAAGATATGTTCCTTAATAAAGTTAAAAATCAACAGTAAATCATATCTTTGCAAAATTCAATTCAATCAAAATACAATCTCAACACTGTCTCTAAATAACTTTCAACATTTTCAGAATGGCTGAAGTTGAAGAAAGTGTTGTTGAGACCTTCGACGAGCAACCGCCAATTGAAACTGAGGAGGCTGAGACTCTCTTGGAAACAAATGTAGTAGCCACAACCGAATTGCCCGAAATCAAACTTTTCGGACGTTGGTCATGCGACGATGTCACCGTAAATGATATCTCTCTACAAGATTACATTTCCGTCAAAGAGAAATTCGCTCGCTACTTGCCACACTCTGCTGGTCGTTATGCAGCTAAGCGTTTCCGCAAGGCTCAATGCCCTATTGTCGAGCGTTTGACAAACTCACTTATGATGAAGGGTCGCAATAACGGTAAAAAGTTAATGGCTTGCCGTATTGTCAAACACTCCTTCGAGATCATTCACTTGTTGACCGGCGAAAACCCACTACAGGTAATTATTTGTGCAATTTTAAAAACAAAAGTATGTCCCATGCTAAACTGTTATAGAGAAACCTAAACCTTTATGATCAGGTAGAATGAGGACGCATATTAAATAATATACTCCATATCTTAAATATTTTGGGTAAAATAAAATATTCATTTGCTGGAGTATTTTACATTGTTTATTAGTGATTCTACATATAGTTGATAATGTTGATTATATAATTTTTCAGATTCTCGTAAGCGCCATTATCAACTCAGGTCCCCGTGAAGATTCGACCCGTATTGGTCGTGCTGGTACCGTACGTCGTCAGGCCGTCGATGTGTCGCCTTTGCGTCGCGTCAATCAAGTAAGCCATTCAATCGATTTGTTTTCCAGGCCTACTACAATACCATGTAAAAGTTTAGCATCTCCTTTACAAGGCTATAACACTAGGCTAAATGTAAAGTGACATTTAAATACCCATAGCGTCAAAAAGTATTATCTGCTTTTGTCGCATGAACTAAATGAACATTGTGATCAATATAGTTTTTGTCCAGCTTATTACTCATTCTTTCGTTGTATAAAATTTGAGTTATGCTTCTGGACAAGAAAAAATTGTGAAGCAGTTTTGAAGATGCAAATATTATAATACATTTGCTTCTGTACTGTTTTAGAACAAACTATATAGCACTTAATTTTCTAACGAAGATTTCATATAAATATACTATATGTTTTCCTTATTTGTTTTAGGCTATTTGGCTGTTGTGCACTGGTGCTCGTGAAGCTGCATTCAGAAACATCAAAACCATTGCTGAATGCTTGGCTGATGAATTAATTAACGCTGCTAAGGTATTTGTCAAAGTATATTATTATGAAATGTTAAATAAATGTCAGGTCAGATATGGTTTACTAATTTCAAAGTGATGGTATGAATTGTTTGTCTAGTACCGTCATATATTCAACCATTTCATTTTTATTAACAAATATGTCCTCACTAATGCAAAACAATGTATTTAACCAAATTGTTATGCCTCGCTTATGGACAAGATAAATATTTCTATTATCCTAGTGTCTAACTTTATTTATTGAATGGTTTGATGCTCGAGAAACGTAGAAAAACAACGTTTGTACTTTGTTATCAAATTAGTCCTCACTAATGTAAAGCAATGATCTATCAAATTGTTTTTTCTCGCTTGTGGACAAAATTAATGAAAGGTTTTATTATCCTAGCACTCTTAAAGTAATCATGGATTTTTATTGCGCTTGAGAAACGTAAAACCACATACCAATAGCGCTCATATTTATTTGGATTTAAAGATTTCTGATACATGTAAAATACCGATTGAATACTTATATTTATATATATTTTATGTATTTTCAGGGATCATCTAACTCCTATGCTATCAAGAAGAAAGACGAGTTGGAGCGTGTTGCTAAGTCCAACCGATAAGCACTACAGTTGTACATTCGTTTTTGTGTACATTTTTTACACTTACAAAATTACAAAGATGATTTATTGAAAAAATAAAGAAAACAATATACAGTTTAATCCAAGTTTATTATTTTGAAACTTCCTTATTTAAATAAAATAAGTTCTCCTAGTTGAAAAGTCATTGAAAATGATTCAGAATGAATTTTGTATATGTTCTAGTATTAGATGTGCGGATGTGTGTGTGCTTTATGAGTTTTTTATGGCATGGTATAGAACGCCTTTACTTTCATTCAGCCTATGTTATTGCCATTGTATAGACCTAGAGTTATAAAATTGTTAATGCATAGTTTTTGAAATGTTGGCAACACTACGTAATTTATTGTAGCTGTCAAAATTTAAATTTTTCCCGCGAACGTATGCGTGGAATAATAACTTAATATAAATAGAAATCTGAACATGTCCAATGAAGGTGCAATATCAATTGGAAAGGATAACGATTCAACTCAAACATCGCAATCGTAAGCAAATTCCAATTTTTTGACTGATTAACTTGTAATGGACAAAATTTGCAGATTTCGAGACCAAAAACTAATTGAAAGATTTGTTCGGAGCAGTCAACTGATCAAAATAATTGAAGGCGCAACGGAACAATTTATAAAAAGATATCGTGATAGCAAGAAGCCAGAAGACGCTTTAGGTGCTCTATTTGTACCGCTTCATTTCGAGTACTCTCATTTTATACACAATAATGCTAATGAGTTGTTGCACCAGGTAATCGAAGAACCATTACAATTTTTGAACGCTGCTAAATATTGCGTTTATGGGATTGTTCGTGATCAAATTAAATTATCCGGAAGCACAGGAGAGAATAACGGACTCAAGTCCATTGACATTGACCAGCTTCACATACAACTGCGATTCAACGGATTACCACTGCAGAAAAATTTGCACTTTGCACACTACAAAAACTGTTTGCCGCCAGGGCTGTCATGGACAACTGGAATTTTGTCGGCAATATCGGAGCCTCAGTGGGCAATGTCAGATTTTCTTGACTTATTAAAGATATATTTTTTTTATTTTCCTCATAAATAATGGATAATATTTGGAATAATATATAGCTTTCATTTCTTAATATCAAAAGACACTTGGTTATACGCTTATCTGAAAGAATATCTTTTACAGTTTACAGTCGACGTGGTTTTGTTCAACCGGTTGCAATCGTAATAAAATTAAATCAGACTCAGTAGATGGTAATATTACATTACATGAAATAATTCCTTATATATTGGTTTTTAATCCAAATAGCTCCCATATGCAACAGCTGTGGTCACCACATGAACGAATATGCAAAATTGCGTGTGACAGAGAAATATCATTTCCTGCGCTTACTTCCCACCTCCAGTATTAAAAACCCCAGAGTTGTAAATAAAATTTTCCGTGCACTAACTGTGCATTGCAAAGGTATATGTAGACTTTTAATGAAATACCGTTATTTTTAATATAAGTGATGAATAATTTTAACTAGCTAGAAGCTTAATTTTAAAAATTTTCAGAGCACGTCCACGATTGTGAACTTCGGCTTGGAACCAGCTATTTCATAATTGGTTACTACGATTATACGCGCGCTGGTCAAATTTTTCAAGCATGGAACGTAATCATACGTTAGAAAGCGCTTTTGCGATGAGTCTGAGGAACATAACAGATAATGAATTAGACGCCCTGTTGCATTTTGACAGTCCGCCACCGACTATTCAATTCTCCCAAAGCACTAATCAACTCAGCAAAGATGGTAATGGAGATCTTGAAGAAGCTAATCAAACACTCAGTACATTGCAGTTTAATCGTGAATTGCTTCCTTCGCAAATGAGTTCACAAGTTGGCGATGTAAACTATTTTCCTGATGATTTAGATTTTACCCTTAACTTTACTCAACAAAGTTCAGCGCAACTTGAGTCTGTTGTAATAAATTCGATGGAAGTTGAGAGCATTGAAATAAATGACACTGAGGGAGTAAAACCAGAAACTGAAAAGACGCCAACTAATAAAGCTAATAAAAGAAAAGAAGATTTATCGAGTAGAACTGTTCATGTTACAAAAGAATCCTCCAATAGTAACAGTGCTGATGCAATGGGTTATATCGATGAGGTTATCAAGAAGGAGCTGCTGGATCTTACGGCAATAGAAGACTTTTCCGATGATGATGGGTTTGCTATTTTCAATGATGTCAGTTTGAATGTTTCTACAGAGCTTGCACAGTCAAATATTGGTAGCGAAAATATAGAGCGCATGGTAAGAAAATGAACATACCACTTATATATATATACTTTATATACTGGAAACTGTGATATTTCAGTGTCAATCTCAAATGAAAGCACCAAACAAACAAACTCAACTTGGCAAACAAATATATATGTCTTGTCCAGTACAACTTAATAAAGATCATATCCCAGCTTTACCCAGTACAATTTCGCCTCTTAAACCAAGCGAAGCCGTGGATTACACACTTAAAAACTTTAATAAATGTAATCCACCAACAGAAAATGTCGAAAGCTTCGTGCCGCCGAAAGAGTTCAACGCTACTGGAACTACAGATACAGTAGATTATAGTTCCACCAGCGATGTGGGTATGGTGCCCACTTCTGTAAAGCAATTATACGATCTGGTGCGAGCTCAGTACTCTGATTTCGCTTTCGTTTATGCATTAAGCGCGCAACTGTGTCAAGATCGTGTACCAATGGATTGTTTCGTTAATCTAAAAATGGGTTTACTACTTAGCTTGGCGTCCATAAGTGTAGGTAATTTGCCTAGTGCTTGAAAAAATTGCTAATTATATAGTTACAGACAAATCCCGATCGTCCACCGATACCTATAATGGTGTTCGGCGGCGATACATACATTGCCAACTATTTACTTACAAACACTGCACAAATGGCGGAACGTTTCGTTGGGCCAGCTGATGTCGTAAAGCCGCCCTTCTGCGGGAACTATCGCAATTGTAAATGGATTATAGCAGATCCAATCCTGCTGGCAAGTGGAGGAGTATACTTCGCTGGCGATTGGTCGCATCTGAAGATGGCCCGGACGGATCAGCTTTTCAGAATCATCGAGTGTTCACGAGTTCCTGTTGATCATTCTTCGCAAATCTATCCTTTAGGAACCGCTATATGGGCACATTGGCGCTCATGCAAAGGCGATGCTAAAGATCAGCAGACGTTTAACAAAGTGGTTAAGTAAGAACACGTTTCCCGACATATCGTAGTATATACGTAACTGTTTACCATAAATTGAGGAAAATAGCGATTGTTTATAATGCAAAGATGATAAGTCCACTTCTTAAATGTTCATTTCACTCAAACCTTATTGCTTTATTTAAAAATACGAAGACTTGACTAAAAACTTCGAATATTTCCGACATTAAGAAAGTTTGAATTAGTATATATAAATTTTAAAACACAAATCATCTACTATTTTACTTAACTATATCAAATGATTCTTACAGATGATTAGTTTCAATTACCAAGAAGTTATTTTAAAAACATTTTGCAGAATATTTGGCATTGCTATTTGCATGGATGACGATGAAAAACATGAAGTGCTCGTAGACTATATATTGGAGCAGTCGTCTGTGAAGATTTTCGAATCGACCGTAGATCACTTGTCAATTAGCAGCGAAGACATGCGTCGCTTTCTAAGGACAATTTCAAAACGCTCAGTCGATCTGACACCAGAAGCTTCGCTATTACTACAACAATATTTTGTAACCTCACGTTACGCGCGCCCTGGTAAATACATATTTACAGTCATATATATAAATTATAATAATTGTCAAAAACTAATATATCGAATCAACAGAATGCCTGACTAAGCAATCCTATGTCGTATTGAAACAATTTGCCGAGTCTTTTGCAAAACTCTGCTTCCGCCACGAAGTGTTGGTCTGCGATGTTGTTGCAGCTGTTTTTATGAGCGAACATTTTATACGAAGTATTTTCGGTGTGAATGAAAATTCTCCGCCACCATTTGAATCACATAATTTTGTGGGCTCTGTAGATGCGCACATGTTGAAGTTTCAAGACTGGCTAAAAGCCTACATCCAAAAATTTCAAGACAAATAATTTGATGTTACAAACTAATCAGTGCTTAAGTTAAAAAAACGTTTATGTTTACATTTTCTTAAAAACTTACATTTTATTTTAGAATCATACCTAAGTTGTAAAGTTTACATATGTGTGTTACATGAACCACATACATAAATATATATGTATACATTAATAAATATACTTTCGATATAGTTTTCAAAATTTTTACTCTACCAAGTTAGTGAAAAAATACTTGCCTTAATACAAAATATGAATTATAAAACTATAATATACCATATAAATATGTATGTATACTTTAGTGGTGTATATGAAAACTGAATTCGAAAATAAAATTTCCTTCAAAAAGCAACGAAATTAGAAACACAGTCATTGCAAATTATTGGAAAGGCACTCATATTTAGAAACATATTTATATTTGATTAGTTTAATAGGATGATCTCAGTACTTTACTCAAGTATATACTCCGGAATAGCTGTCATTTTTTTTATTGTTTCCAATTTGTTGCTTGTAGGTTTGAGCTATAATTTCACTTATTCAACACTTATAACTAGCTTAAACCTATTTAAAAGCTACGGTCATAAATTTTTTAATTAGTCGATTATTTGTTAAATTCCTATAATCATACAAGGTATGTGTGAGCAGTAGTTTAATCTTCATTAGTAACTTGGGCAACTTCGCATATGGTAGACAAGAGTTTCTTACACTTAGCGATTACTTCTGCGGCCTTAAAACATGCTAATTTGCAAACGTAATTTAAGTAACTTATTATTTACGGTAGAAGTATCTATTCTTAGTAGTCTAAATTCCCTTGAGCGCCAGTAATAATGGCGTCGATCCATATTCTTGCCGCAGCATCTGATGCCGCCTGCAGATGATAGCTGCGCTTCTTGGTTTTAACGATTAATGTGCAATGTGGACGTCCACTTTTCGATGCATTTAAATGGTCCAAATACACTTCGTCTATTGTCTGGAAAAAAAGAAAAAAAACAAAAAACCAAATTAATTATTCTTTAAAGTACTGGCAAGGTATGGCAATAGAAAATTGAAGTAAAATGTCAGAAATTCCCAAAATGAATATTTTTCATATAAAATTTTCATGCGAGCATCAAATTCTAATAGCAAACTTTAAATAGTGTCCGTCTACCGCCACTATTTAGTTGCTTAATATTTCCATTGAATTATCGTACGCACTCTATTATGACAACCAATCAGATGGAAGTGGATGACACGGACACCGAAGAATTCCAAGACATCGAAGAGTTCTCCGATGAGGCACCCTCTTGCAGCAATACGCAGCCACAATCGAAACGATTCGTAGTAAAAAAGTGGCAGGCCCAGGCGCTCTGGTCATGGGATGTGGCCGTGGACAATTGCGCCATTTGTCGCAACCAAATTATGGATTTGTGCATTGAGTGCCAGGCGAACCCGCTGTGCTCGAGCACCAAGGAGGAGTGCACTGTGGCTTGGGGTGCATGCAACCACGCCTTTCATTTTCACTGCATTTCGCGTTGGCTCAAGACCCGTCAGGTGTGTCCGCTGGACAACAAAGAGTGGGATTATCAAAAGTACGGACGTTAGCTCATAGCATTGGCTTGACTGGCTTATTTCGTAGTGTTTCTCGACACATGTCTATTTTGTTAGCATATTTACAATACAAACACGCATTTGTATTTTACAATAATACCGAATTCAAGAGACGAATTCATATATACTTGTACATATGTATAAATATATAATATTTCGATTTATTCAAAAACTTACCGAAAAGTAGGCACCTCCTCTGGGTTTCCGCTCCGATTTATCCGCGTAATAGATGAAAGCGCTTCGCTGGCGATCAAGTACGAACCATCGCCGAGCCCAGCCGTGGAAAGTAGCGCCCAATTTATGCAAATAACTGTAAATGTTTATATAACGTGGCGATTTAATCAAAATTCGTATAAACAAATCGGGTAAACTGACAGAAGAATAACGAACATTTGCATTCACTTACCCTCGACAACTAAAGGCATCGACAAAGACGTGCGGGCATAGCGTAATCTGGTGCCCAGCCGACTCTATGTGATGGCGCAAATTAAGATCCGGAGAAAAGATTGGCAGATAGCGTGTCAACGGACGTTGATGTTTGGGAAGAGCACGTTTCCGATCGCCATGCGCACTACCGTTGACGCTACCGCCTGACGTAGTCTCGTTGGAATTGACGCTCGAACGCTTGTTGCTCGCCTCGGCGACGTCGTTGGATATGCGCTCGGTGGAGTATACATTGTTTACTTTTGTGGCGGCATTTGGCGACACGGTGGACAATTCAAAGTTTGACTTGCACGTGCCTTTGTGGTCGCCCTCTAGCAAATTGCAACTCAACTCCGAATTGGCCTCTGATAGTGGCCGTGGACTGGATGGCGATTGACGTAGTTGTGTTTCTACAAATTCAGGCTGCGAGTGACGTTGCTGCAAAGTAAACAAAGTGTAAATTAATGCAAATTTATTTGAAACTAATTATAGTTTGTTATGGTAAAAATAGAATGACACACGTACATACTTATGTATGTATGCATGCATGTACATACGGAGAGTATATTAAAAAATTTTGAAATTGGGAGAATCGTGAATTTGCTGACCAAGAGCCATGGGCGACGTGCCTATCTATTTGCTCTTCACACACTTTTCAGCGCACTATTAATACACCAAGTATTTACAGCCACCTAGAAGGTGTTTATCCGTTTGGCGTGTAGCCAACGTATGGTATTTAAGACAAAAAAGTTCGTTTTGAAAGGTGCAAAAAGTAGTGCTTGCAGAATGAAATTTGAAAAGTGGGGAAAGCAAACCATTATGGTGTCACTTCTAAGATACCCTAGGTTGATTTCGGAAGATGTATAAGTGTACATATTATTACTAAAAGCTTCAACCCGGCTCTTTTAGCACCCATTTCTAACCTTAAAAGTTGTTCTATCGTTTAATTATGGATTATAATAAGACTGTCGAATATAGAAATTATTAAAAAAGTATTAAAGAAGGATATATTCGTTATTCGTTTTTGGAGACAATTCGGAATTGTCTTTTTGCAGTTAATGCATATTTCAGAGAAAATATTGTCAAAATAATTTATTTGCATTTTATTTGATGACTTTCAACGGGACTTCAAACAAGATATTATTTAATAGCAACAAAACTAAGCTATAACATTATGAATGAAATAATGTAATTAGTATGAGTGTCTATATGTACATACATATACCTAACATAAATTGACCACTTAATTTTTAAAAATAAAAAGAATTAATGGTTTTATGCAATTTTCTAATAACTAACTAATTTTCTTTTTGTTTTCTAACTCTACACTCACTTGATAGTAGCACTCAGTTTTATAACGTTTGTTTGAGTCTGCATGACGATGCTTCACATAATTCATCCAAACTGACATGGTCGACCCTACAATTTCTATTTAATTTGTTGTTGATATATGTAGATAATTTTTTTTTTTTTGCTTTAATTCTTTATTCGTTTTTGTACACGACGCGTATGCTTTCTAAAATTTAATTCAATAAATTCACATTTATCGCAATGAATAAACATTTGCACGTATGCATCAATATTTATATAATATATATATGTTCTAGGCATCCGAACACTGTGAGAAGTTAATAAATACTGAAATTTTTATATTCGTGCGATCATTTTGCCATTTAAACTGAGAATAATTTTCCTAGCGCAAATTCAAGTGTATTTAAGTGTCTCACATACATATCCATGCGCACAAATTGGCGGATGTTGTCCAGAGATGTGTAGGCCAAATGCAGGAGACAACAATTACAAACTTTGCTTAGAAAATTCAACATCGCGTGTACTCATTTGAGCATCAGTGATAGAAATGAAAAGCAACTCATTTGAAGGTTCTTTAGGTACAATATATTATTGCAGGTTTACTGTTATTTATATATATATTTGTTGAGTGATTTTATGACGATACTGAAACGATTTTACTGTTCATTGAAATACATTATACCTGCTTTCTCTTTGTTTTTGTATCAAATCGTTCACCTTACTTTGTATGAGTACAGCAAATGTCAAGCATTAGGAGGTAAAACTTTGGCGAATATTTCCAACATGGCAAACTTTTCCGACACAGATATATCATTTAAAAATATTCAGCGATGAGTAAGAGTTAGTGGACTATCTGAGAAATAGAACTTGCGCGTATTGTATATAAACATTATATCGACGGGCACATGCATAGCGCTTCCACCAATTCTCCTTATTATTGAAGAATTTCCCGCTCTAAAAAATTATGAGTAATAAATAATATTTGCATTGGGATTAGGGTAGGTCTACACATATTAGACCACTCTAAAAAATATGTACTTTTATACATATTTAAATTATTGTAACGTACATTTGTTCATTACAAGCTTAAATACTGTCTATGTATGAATATTTTTCGTGTTTTGCCCTTCCGCGATGTTTATGTGAAATACTAGAAAATGTGGTAATTCAAGATTAACACAATTGAAAACCAATTAACAGCTTTTGGTGTTAAAGTTAGGTATGATTTAAATGAAATTTTAAAATATGTATGTATTAATCGCAAACAAATTGAAACAAACATTTTAGAACGGTTAAGATTAAGAGATTTTATACATACCCCTTCAGTGCACGGAACCACCTAAATGTAGTGTGCTTGCTTAATTTGTAGTATAATTCATTGATGAATACACATATGTCTATATGTTTCTAATACTACTATCTCAGAAAAGCAAATTAAATTTGTATTATTTAATAATTCACCATTCCGTGGCCAAAATTAAATGAAGCATAATGAAATAAAACTTAAATTCGCAGAATCTGTTTAACAACCGCCTGCGGAAGTAAATATTTACTCCTCAATTACGCTTGTTCGGTTTCATGCTCTGAACAAATTGGCGAGTAATTTTGTATGTATTTTGGTGAATAACAATTCGCCCGCTTTTATATTTCCTTACGAGTAGTATTGGCAGGAAAACAAATTCTGAAAATATGTATGCACATGATTGCTTATATTCTACGTAGGTATGCAGGTATTCGATCATTAACATGGGGTAATGAGTTATACGTGGGATTGCCCCCGGTTAACATTTTATTTTGGATTAGTCTATGTGCAATATGGTGTACGTTTTGTTTACGCATTTAAAGTATAAACAAAAACATATTGTACCAACCGTTAAAAAAAAAAATACTGCCAATATAAAATTAAAGATTTCATAGAAGTATTGATTAATCTAGGTTGTAAAAAAGAATTTTATGACGTTGGAGTATTAGTCACTATTTAAAAATACCGTCTTATTTTATTGATTTTCTTTGAGTGAAACATTTTAGCTTTTGACTCAATGGCTTTTAAAAAGCATGAAACTGACAAAAGCTAAAAACTACAATACTAGCAAAATAACGTAAAATCTTACCTGACTAGATCTATCCGCTTGTATTTTATTCACTCCCTCATGAACTCCAATCCGTGGAGAAAGAGTTTTTCCGTTTCCGAATGTAGAGTTCTTCTTTTGTGACGAACACACGCCCGATTGGGCCTCTTTGGTGGAACATACATTAGTTTCATCGCTTTCAATGCATTGGAGCTCTCGCATTTCAGCTTGATTTGAATTGCTCAGGGCATTATTGCCGCTATTGCTGTTGAAAAAATATAGTATTAGAAAAATCAAAATATTTGAATTTATGTATGCGAATATACATATGTATGAGAATTTGTTCGTATCGGTAAATAGATAATGATATTTAGTAATATCTCACCCGCAAATCCACCCGCAAAATTTGTCCATATGTAATAAAAGTTATTTTTTAATATTTATCGATTTGTATGCTTCGAGAACCGAATTTATAAGCGTGAATACACCGTTTATTATTTCCGTCGGCATTTAACACTTGCAGTGTGTACTTCGCGATTAAAGCCTAACATGGGTGATACTAAAGTATAAAACACTTGTGCATACACCTCTCAACTCATATACGCATATGGTATACAATTACATATGCATGTATTTATTAGCCTATACATACATATATATTTACGAAATAAATCGTATAACCATTATTATTTTAACCTATACAATCACAAGAGACCAGTGTTATCATAAAAGCATTCAGTGATAAGAAATTTTATCAAAATGCCTCAAGCTATTCGAAACCCGATAAAGCCTTGCCAAGAGAAACTTAACTAACGCACATATGTAAGTACAAACACATCATCTAAATAGTCGCTCTTACACTAAATTATTCTTTGAAATACACAAACCGGCGAAATTATCGCCGTGCTTACAGCAATCTGCGTTACTTAAACTTCATAATTATTTACTTCAATTGCCGTGTATTCGCAAACCGTTAAGTTTCAAAACAATTATAATTTTAGAAACTTTCATTAGTTTGCACTGAATTCGATTTATGTTCGTACAAGAATCCGACCTAGATTTTTGTTGTGCACTTCTAACACATAATTGCTGTCGATACACACATGAACTCATATATGCTGCGATTATGTCAGATAGTATTCTCTCTCAGTATTATGAAATTAACTTTATTAGAAATGAACACTGATATATATATTTTCCCCCCATGAATCATGAATTATTAAGCGCTTTACCGATCGGATCCAACTGTCAGAAAGACAGCTCGGAGTACGAGCAGTCGAACCTGTGTCATTGCATAAAGCCATACACACACACCACTTCACTGTTGCGTATATCCGACTTTGTTGCTGAACCAATTGTAGGTCTGCTTTGATTGGACAGCTTGTTCGATTTATGAATATTGTCCACATGTTTGTACGACTACATTTTACGACATTAAGTTTGTCTTGTGACTAAATACACAGAACTGTTGTTAATAATTTGCACAAGAAGAAAAAATATCACAAGGAAATATAATATACTTGTATGGCAAAGAAGTTGCAAATAATTTTTTGATACAACCGGCACCTCCGTTCCGGTTTTCTACCCGCATCTTTGAATATACCAGACCTACATACGTACATATTTGATTCCGAATATATTTTTATATTTGCTTGGCATTTATTGCTAATGTAAACATTGCGTACATACCAACATTCATGTGAGCACACGAATATATTCAAAAGCCTTATCGCAAAAGCACACATATCAAGATATGAGTATTTGTTGACATTTTTGGGATATTGAAGTGGGCGGGAAGAAAAGGGTTGTATATAAAAGTCCGTGAATCATATCTTTTAAAAAGTTTCAACGAAAATACGCGTAGAAAGCGACTACGGAAGAGAAAATGAAACTTGAATGTACTGCTTGTTGTGGATGATGAAACAAAACAATAATTCACTTTCAGTTCCATGAAAATGAAATTCGTTTAATAAGTTGGCAACATACCTATTATATGTATGTACATTTCGGTATTATGAATGAACTAATTTTTTTATAAAGCAATTGGTATAATGCACTTTTTTCACAAATTTATTTTCATGGTCGAATCTTCAGAGTGATGAACAGGCATTTTTAAGAAACTTTTTTAAACTCCATCATGTTTTCATTGTATTTATAATGAACCTGATTTAGTTTCACTAAGCCGTGTCGACTCAGTTTGTCACCTCAATTGCGTTCTTCCAAACTGTTGGAGGAATGTTTGCTACTCCACAACTGTCTTTTAAATTGAAAACTCGGCGGCAAAAGGTTTCGAAGATATGGTATACCCACAGCAGTTGAATCCCCACAAGCAACATTTTCCGTCAACGAAAAAATTTAAATATAAAGATTTTTCGTATACAAGAGAGAAAAATTGTTTTACTGCAGCCAGTGGCATGCAGTCGCGAACACTAGTCTCATTCAAATATTCCGCATGCGTATCTAATAAAAGATTCTCCTCGCAGCAATACATGTCAGCGTAGGTTAACAAGTGCAATAGTTGAGGAACATGCACACACATGAATAACGAACTAATTGAAGTTAATCAACATAACTCTATTTCATACGAAAACGACCAATAAACCACTTTAACAGTTCACACCCTCACTATCATACATAATTTCAAATTAAAACAGTCCCCTCTAATTTGTGTGACTGTTTATTATAATGAAACTTTATTTTTGCTTTGGCAGAATGGCTTATGCAAACTAAATAAGTCGGGAATATTAATATTAATTTGATTTCAAGAGTGATCGCAATAACACTCTCTATTTAGTGTACTCCCTTTAGGGTGGTCCAGTAGGGATAAAATACAAACTACTAAAAGGCGGTTATAGAAACAATAGGTACTTACTCTTTTTCGTCATTGTTCAGTTTTAGAAGATATTGGGCGCGTGCTTCATCATGGCATTTTTTTTTCAAATCAATGATTTTCTGGCGTTCATGCTCGATCACGTGATGACCTTAAATCAAAATTTATTTTATTAAAAACCTATAAATAATAATACGTAACACACCTTGCTGGGCCAGCAGCAATTGACGATTTCGTTCAATTTCCTTGATACTATCAAATATTCTAGTACTAGCACCTTTTGTTGATATCGGTGCACTACTAGTCACTTTACATATGCGATCAATATCATCCTGGGAAGGCACACGACGTTCCAGCGGATTTACTTCAAAATCATCGTTGCCCAACGAAAGATTAAATTTTACCCGCTCATCGTGCTGATCACAATTTGGCACGTCAAGTTTGCCATTCAACATGGCAGTTGCCTCAACTTCAGTACACCTCCGCATATCACTTGTGGCATCATCAATGTCAACTACATAAAGTTGCTTACGTTTCGGAGTACTTGTGACTGGTGCTTGCGATGGCAGTTCGATTTTGTTATTATAAAACATATTCTCATTTACGCTTTTCGACATTACATCCTCAGTGGTACGCTTTGGACAAAGCAATTCGGCGGAGCCAAAGAGAGATTGTGACATAATACCCGCTGCCAGATTGTTGTGCAATATCGGTGAAGCGGAAGATGTCGTGCTGATATCTTCTTCGGATGAGTTAACCTTTAAATCGCCAGTTATATCACAAATACTGTTTTCTACCGCTTTTAGGTATTCCTTTTCTATTTTAAGCGAATTACATGCACTCACTAACTTTGATTTTAAAGTTTTTGCATGTACCGATATATTGCCCAAGTCCTGTCTCTCTAGATGTTGCAGTTCAATGCGTTTTTCTTTTATTTTCACACTTAAATTCGCTTCTTCGTTGTGCAGCTCCTCCCGGTAAGCGTGCCACTCGGATTCTTCTTCCAGATATTGGAACTCTAAGTCTTCAAACGTCTTTCGGTCATTCTCCAGCGACTCACTTACATTATGCAGTTCTTCCTTGAGGCAATCATTGCTCGGTTTCTGTTGTAACATCGACTTTAGCCTATTTTCATAAACGAATGTGGATAAACGAGTATTAAAAATTATTTTACATAATATGTTAGTTGAAAAATTGTACTCACTTCTTCACTTGATCTTGCTTCATTTCAATTGATTGTTTCAATTTAGCCTGCTGATTCTCCTCCATTACTCGTGTAGCGTTTCGTTGTGCTTCAAAACGATGAATCTTGTTTTGCAAAAGCTCAAGTTGCGTCTCCAACTCGCCCACCGAGCCACCAACGGAATTCAGTTCTGCATTCACCAGCGCCTTTTCCATATCCAACTGAAATTGAAAAATTATAAATTATTAAATTTTAAAATTGCCGATGAATTACTAAGCGCTCACCTCTCTTAGTTCCTCCGATTCCTGCTTTTGCAGTTCGGATATTTCATTCTTCAACTCATGGATTCGCATCAAATTCTGTTTTCTTTTCAGCTTAAGTTGATCAATGTCTTCGCAGCCACTCAGAACCAGCTTGGATTTCAATGCTTCTTCAACATCATTTCGCACAGACGCAGCTGCTTTTTGTAAATCAATAGTTTTAGCGCTGCCACTTTTATTAAAGCTCGCTAATGCGCTTCTCGAAAACATTCGTGGTGCAGGTGCTGGTTTCTTTTGTAGTTTGGGCGAATTTTGCAACGAATTCGATTCGGGTAAGTTCAATGTGAGATTGTTGACATTTTTATTCGTACGTTTTGCTGGCGACTGTTCAGCGGAAGCCGATATGGATTTCACGGCGTTAGTTGACTGATATCGACTGCTCTCCTCGATGGCTTGCATTTCTAATTTAAGTTTCTCCTCAAAAGTCTTGATAAGTTGCTCATATTCACTATGTTTTGAAGGCTTCGGTGCCACTGGGGGAGGTTTTGCTGCAATAGGCGCTTGACCGTACACACTACTGAAAGAATGCTCCTTTTTCGGTGACATACAGGTCGTTCTAATTTTGGTGCGAGGACTTTGTGGCACATACTTGCCGATAACGACATTTTCATAACCTGTCTTCGGTGAAGTGGGTCCTTCTGTTTGCCCACCAATTTCTATTCGATTCTGACTCACTAAACGAACGTTCTCGTAACCAGAGGAGCTGGAGACGGAGTTTGAACCGTTATGTGTTTGGGTGCTGAGATTATTACTACTACCTGAGACAGATTGTTGAAGTTGCGAACCAGATAGGTCGAAGTAGAAGGGAGACTTTTTGTCACGTGGCAGTGAACCATTTGTTTTTATCCGGTTTTGAACTATAGGTGAGGAAGTAAGAGAAGCAGCACAACTCTGATTTTGTCGATCGGAATATTCGGTACATATTTTTAGCATATCCTCAAGGCATTCGTTCTCTGAAGTACTAAGGTTCGAGAGATTTCTACGCTGCATGCTTGGTGAGCTCTCGTACTGCAAACGATGCAGCGGCGATGAGTTTGCCGAATTGCTATTAATTTCAGTATTGACTCCGTTCATTGGATAGATTTGTAAACCACCATAGGTGCCGGGCTTCGGATAGCGATCGTAAGCAGACACGTTGTGATGGTTCGCACTATTGACGGTGCGTAATGGTGCCGTATTATTAACCTTTGCCAAAAACTCACCACTTCCACTTCCACATGTACTTGTATTTTGTATGAAATTCGACGTGCTCGGAATATTAACATAATTCCCTGTGCTGTTTTGGGCTCCTCCCCTTACACTATTGTTTAATTGATTATTGCGTACAGGACTTGCATTCTTGTCGTTGCGATGATTTTCAGCCAAATTCTTTGCAAAGTTTGCATATTTCTGACCCAAAACATCCTTGGCTGGCATATTCACCGTCACCAAGTCAGCGGCGAAAACCTTCGGGCAATGTAAGCCATTGATGTCGATCGGCGCTAGAGCCACGTTGTGGTACAACGATTTATCGCTGCCTAGCATACTTTTCGTGGTCTCTCTACTCATCGACATTGACATAGGGCTAATATGTTCCTCGTAGAACGAGTCAATGGCTAACGATTGGCGCACATCTGCACTTCCATTGCTGGAGCTAAGGCTTTTCGTGGAATCGCGTCGTGGCACTTGAGTGAAGTCTATTTGGGGCATTGAAATACGTTCATTCGAACCCATAGTAGAACGTATCAACTGAGCCTCGGCGGGATTATTGAACCGCAAATAATTGGAATTACCAATGGTGATCATAGCGCCCTGCGTTAAGTTCGTCTCATGCGTGATCTTCGTGCCGTCGATCAGTATACGGGCATCCTGTTCTGGTACTATTGTCACTTCGTTCTCCTCACTGCGATATATTGTACAATGAATCGATCGGACCCCACTACCATTCAAAGATATACTGCAAGTGGAAGCCGAGCCAATAGTCATATCACCTGAAAGCATACACACACAAATAAATAGTTATAGAGTACTTGTTAGCATTAAATAGAGAGTTTTAAAACTCTTCGCCGAAACTTATTTCGCAGAATTATGAAGCTACCTTCGCAACAGCAGTACTAAAAGTGAGATCATAAATTTAAATGTTTTCATACCATACATTCATAGGTGAGAAGTATACATGCATACATACATACATACATACTTATACATATAAATCGTATATACATATGTCGCACATTTCATAAATTTCGAACACATCGTTTTAATTATGAGCGTACCTATGTGAATGTGTATGTTGTATTTGCACGCATATGTTTGCTCAATATGTGTATATTCCTAAAAAGTCACAAAAAATTTAAAAAGTGTAAGCATAAAGCTTTTTGATTGTGACCCTAAGAACCCGAAAATTTGATAAAGGCAAATGGGCAATTAAAGTTATATGTACATAACTACAAGTACATGTGTACAGTCCTGTGCAAAAAAAACCAGACAGTTAAATTATCGCTATTTAATGTTCTATAATTTGAGTATGAATTTTGTTAGAGGAAAGCAGCTTTTTTATGCACAAATATAACAGTTTCAAATACAGTTGTATCATCATTAAACCCATATGGGAAATAGGTGACTCGTGACAAGTGTTTATATAAAAATATGCCAAGGTCGAAGCAAATTGGTAATTGTCGCAGTATCGCAGCAGAAATTGTCCGTACGTCAAATCGCTGATAAAGTTGGATACAGCAAATCATCTGTTGCCGATTTTTTAAACAAAGTTGCAGAAACGAGTTCAACGGAGCGAAAAAAGGCTCTGGATGACGAAAAAAGACGACGCCTGCTGAAGACCGGATGATTGAGCGGATGTGTACCTAGGACCGATTTAAATCTTCGGCAGACATAAGGAAGGTGTTCTTGGATGCATCCGGCGTCGAAATAGATTCATCTTCTGACATCCCGCAAAAAACTGAAGGTAAAAATGCGATACTTATGGGCCAAAAGTCATGAAAACTGGAATGTCTAGCAGAGGAAGAATGTGATCTTTTCGGATTAAACGAAGTTTAGCCGCTTTGGATCGGATATTATCCACCATGTGAGACGCAGATCTGGCGAAAGGTACAAAACTGAATGCATACTACCTACTGTAAGACAGTCAGTTTATAGAATGGTGTGGGGCTGCTTCACCTATGACGGAACGAAGGAATTGACTCTTATTGATGGTCAGGTGAACGGAAAAACAAGAGCTCTAAGAACGGACGTTATATTTCAGGATGATTCTTCGCCATGTCACCGATCTCACTAGGTACATAAGTTATGTTTTTTTTTAATCACACAAGTGTTTTGTTTAAATTTAAAAACAAAAAACCTATCATTTATCCCTTATTTAAAAAACGGTATTGTCCAATTCAGAACCTCTGGGCCGTTGTAAAGACCGTTGAGGTAACTGAAAACAAAGCCCAAGAACAAAACTGACCTGAACTGAACATTATAATGGACACTTGTCATAACGGTATTTCTAAAGAACTGTTGCAAAACCTGGTTACATCAATGCCGAGACGTATTAAAGCGGTAATTAATGCGAAGGCGGGGCGACTAAATATTATCTGCGAATTATAATATTTATAATAAATTAATTCATTTTGTTATGAATTAATTAGTTGTCAGATCTTATAAGAAGGATAAACTTATAATAAAACGTTCGTTAGTAAAAAGGTAAAAACAAATAAAGTATGAAAATATTGAAAAAATGTATGAAGCGTACTGCTTTGACTTCATTATTTTGTATTAAAAACGCAATGGAATATAAACGCATTCAAACATATTTGATAAATTCGATATGTCAAAGAATTTTCAATTCCAGGCTGTCCGGTTTTTTTGCACAGGACTGTATATATTGTGTGTCACATCAGATAAATCTACGCTACCTCATAATTTTTAACTTCATAAATATAAAGCGTTATTCACACTCCTTTCTAGGGAGACCGCCCAGTGAAAGTTTCTCATAAAAATCAATCGAAGGAATTTAGATATATATAAATCCAATATGATAAACAAATCATATCGACCTTTGCTAGGAGTTTGATGAGGCTTCTCCTCCTATTTGAGGTTCACATTATGACACACGACGAATTGGAGGATGCACACGTTTGAAATAAATTCGAAGAAGTTTTTTCTTGGCAGCAAAACATTTAGGACTTTGCCGTCAAACTATTTCGAATACGAGGCAAATTAGATCACATAAACAATATTTGTCAGCAATTCTAATCTGGTGCCAAACCTAACCTAACCTGAAATCTAGATAATGGTGCAGAAATGAAGATTTTTAACTAAAGCTTCGTTTGATGAATCTGTCAATTGTACACTCGCATATTGTATATTGTATTATGTATATAAATAGATATGCACATGAAATCCATGAAACTAAAGTTTCGTGATAGTCGGCACGTACGAAGTCGCAATATTTGAACCATTATTAGCGCATTATTCGCTCAATTAACCAAATTAGGGAATCAGAACATATATGGTAAACATATGGTATATGAATTGGAAATAATCGGTGTTTACTATTCGATTAAGCACATACTGTTTATCTCAGTGTAGCGTAATATGTTGCACGAAGTCAGCCAAAGGTTTAAGGTAGACAATCAAATTTCTCAGCTAGCTGGATTTTAAAAGATCTGTTTTCAGCAAGAAAATAATTGGAAAGATTGGTTTGCTTGAAAATATCGGTACACCAGTATTAGAAAATATTTTTATATAGATTTGAGACTTTATATGGAATATATAAAGAAATATATAGGAAATTATAGGGAAAAATCGATTTTTTCTTTGAGTTCCACTTCCACGTTATCTTTAGGCACTTAATTCCACTGAAATTCATTAACTAATCCATTCAGCGTTATCAATGGCATAAACTCAATTGAATTCCAGCAATTGAAGGTAAATATATTCATTGAAAATTATCTATGTAAATGCTTCGAACCGGCATAACTCTACTCGAATATATAATATAATACATACATATGTATGGTATATGTATCTACTGGCATAGATATACCGTAATAAATATGAGTTATCTACACCAGTTTTGGCTTTCAGTAAGCTTTACCGATAGTGACGTTTTTATAAGATTTTATATAAATGTACATATTATATAATATATAAGTACGCATTTATGTATGTATGTTTCAATTATCTTGTGTAAAGCCTATAAAATTTCGAGAGATTGCTTGTTTTATTGTTCTGATTTTGCGACTAATGAATTTTGACGCTCCTTCGAGATATGGAGTTGGATAGCAGTTCAAAATTGATGTATACTTATTTTGTTACCTATGGGTATGTAATGTATGGTAACAGCTGTGCTCAAACGTCCACCTCCCAAACTGACCAAATGCGGATCATTGGCAGCAACTCGCAGCGTTGGATCCTTTTTCGTTAACGACATCTAAAAAAAATAAATAATAAATAAAAATTGGTGCAATTTGTAAAACTAAAATAAGAAATTTTTCAAAAATATTATCAATTTTATTTTATAGATAATTTTAGAGCATAAGCACTCCCTCTATATATTTTTAAAATTTGAACTATTTCGGCTTAACGAAGTTTGTCATGCAAATCTTCGAGTGTCAGCGGATATTGAAGCTGTTATTTTCCGAAATACTACTCTACTGTTTGAGGTCAATCTGGACTGATTACCAAAAGTGCTCAAAATTTATAAATCAAGTAATGTTATTATGCTTTTTGGAATCCAAAAAAATTTTAAATGAAGAAAAACGCGATAGTATCACAATGAACAGTGAGATTAAAAATAAAGAAAATTAAAAAGTTCTTTGTATTTTTTAAAGCAGCTAAACGAAACTTTTTTGCAGAGACCGAAATCATTATAATGATTAATTTTGATTAGTTTAACAGTAAATCATAAATAATTATTATTTTTGAGCACAAGAAAAATAAAAATTATAAATAATGATTATTTGTGATTTTTACTTGTTTTACTCAAAATAAAACTCACTTTTGATCACAGGTTTTTTATCAAGTTTTTTGCTAACTTCGTTGTAAGCCCTTTTAGGACAAAAATATATCTTCTTTTTTTCTTTTGTGAATAACATAAAAGTTTGATAAGAAATTATTTCGACGAACTCTTGGTAGCTAAAATCATATTTGGCGACAGAAATTATAGTATTATAGTAACGGCATTTTTTAAAAATTCAAGTATTTTATTTCAGCAAAGTCAATAACCACCTGTCAGATCTTACCATGCCGTAGCAAACAACTCAAATTGAAGAGGATTGGAAAAAACACTGGAGTAAACTTATTACGTGAATTTCAAGCCGATTAACTTTAAGGGGGTATTTACATAAATTCATTATTTTCACTCACTTTGATCCTGATGTAGTACAATAACCAAGGCTCACTATTTTGGGCTTTTCTGTGTAGATTGCGCAATACTTAGAGAAAGCTTGTGAAACATATATGAACAAGTTTTTATGTGTTTCATATATAATATAATGCTTATCTGTGTCAATTTGAAAATAAGCTAATACGATGTTGCAGCACACATTTACGCTCCACTGCACTTTAGAACCGTTCGTTACAAAACCCTATGTTGGAATAATAAAGAATGTGCTCAAAAACAAGCCCACAAGCCCACAAGCCACTGCGATTACGACGTTCATGTGATAAAAGAGAAGAAAGGTGGTTGGAAACTATTTTTACATGGACGCAGCTGATACGATGGCGCTCTCGCCAACTGTTTACCGACACTAGCATTTGGCGTGTGCGCAGACGCAGCACAGTTGACGCATCTGAACTACTTAAGAAGCATTTTTTAACTTAGAAATATGGTCCGTTATGAAACCAAATATACACGCGCATTATTACGAGTATTCTTTTGAAGACTTCCATCTCAAATACTTCAACTGAGAAATCTGTGTGAAAATAAAAGGCAATGCATTATGAATCTACAAAAGGACGAGAAAAAGGGGTAGATTTAAAGATGCACTCGAATTGTTTATAAATTATTTAAAAAAATAATAATAATAAAATAGTTTAAACAATTAAAACTTTTTCAGTCACACCGATCGCAAGCGAAATATATGTATATAATTTATAAATATAAAATTTAACAATAATTTCTATAAATTTTCTGACAGCTAAAGAATCTCAGCGTCACGAAAGGCAAATAAAACACGTATTGGAGGTATATGAATATATTTATGTATGTATTTAAGTATATCTAAGCATATGTCTTGTATCTGGGTGACAGACTGCGTTTGCGTTTGCACTTACGGTATCATTCTGTTGATGACTCATACTCAAAGATATGTGTGGAGACAACCAAAACGCAGGTAGAAAAAATGGGCAATAAATAATCTCAAATTCTAAAGGTAAGCGAACTTTCAACGAAACATGGAATAAACGGCTCTATTGAGTACTCGTCTTACACACATTAATTTATTATTGCTTACACCGATACGAGCCCAACGCACCAATATAACCCAAAAATCGGGCAAATATTGAGCAAGCAAACGAAATAGAGCTCTAATAAATGTTCATCCACGTGATAAATAAACAAACAGGAGTGTATATGTACATATATCAGGTATCTATGATTACTGTTTTTACAAAGTACCAGCAAGAACAAATATTGTAGACACTTATTGATGGAAGTGATTTGTGGAAGGATTCTCTATTGGGCGGCACGTGCTTATCCAGCTGAAAGCAGCTGCTGCCTCTTACTTATATAATATATACCAGCCCTTCCAGAGTGTTGGTTGGTTCACGTGAGAGGGGTGGATGGCGAGTTGGCAATTCAAGCGCGCACATGTGATATTTGTTGATATGTTCATATTGTATACAAAGCCTTAAAATGTGATCCCCTCGTTTACTGACGCACTAGTTCTGCACGCGCCATTTGTCTCAGGGTACAGCGGGGGTGTGTACACAAGCATGCAAAAAATAATAAGGTGGCAGCTGCATTTTATTTGTTTTTCTGGTTTCCATATTATTTGCGAAAATCAATAACTGCGTTCAGCTAATATTGTGCATGAAAGAAAATATAGATTTTGATGGTCATGCCAACAAACACGTGCATATCGATTCCGTAATTATTGTATATTTTCAACTAATAATAAATTTTCAAGGATTCTCTTTTTCAAATGAGAGGGCAAGTAATATAACAATATTTTTTTTTAATAAATTGTGCTTATGGTAAATACGTGTTTCTAGGAAACTTCGATTTCATATCTTACTTTGACAAGCTTTATTAAAAGATTATGTTTATGTGCAAGCAACTGAATCTCAAATACTTGTAGTATTACTGCTATAGATACTGTGAATGTTTTAGTAAGAGGATTTGATGTGAAATTTGAAACTAAAATATAGTATGTAAAATAATACTAAGTTCACATTTTCTATGAGTAAACTTTCGAATAAGTGAATGCCGTTTCACCAGTACTCGCATCAAAGCCAATAAATCAACTCATTTTTGTTGATTTCTTTGTCACTTGGACAGGCGAATGTGATTGACTTTCTTCGATGAAATTACTGCCAACACAAAGCACACACTGGCATGCATTCTGGAAGCCATCGCGGTGTAACCCGTCTTTTATGGACAGCGAAATTCAACTGATGCCGGCCAAATATGGCGCAAGCAACCGGCTTATGCTGCCGGGTTGATAACGAGCCCGATTACAAATGAGTAAAAACTAGGTAAACAAGTCGGTATATGAGTTAACTATATACAAATAAATAAGCAGCGAGGAAATTCACTTTTAACTTTAAGCAAGTCGGCAAATGATCGTATAATTCTATCGTACGTACATATTTACGCGTGTACACATATACACACATCAACGACCTTGCGGAGAATAATGTTATTTAATTAGATATACATACATGTATATATTATATATATATACATTGTAAAGCAATACATATTTACATATTCCTTGTCGGTAGTCTTAAGCTAAAATAGCAACATTGCGTGTGGTTAGATTTTTCCAAAACCTTATGTGTTATGTGTATTCCTTATAAAAAAATAAGTTATTATACGGCATATAAATCAAATCAAGTTTTACTCTTTATGAATCTACCTACATTTATACATATATATTTATGCGAAATAGTTAAAGGTCTAAAAATCTCAGAAAGATTATATTTTTATAAGATGTTGTCACGCGCTTAACATCAAATAAAGCAGTTGGATTGGTCTACCTTTATTGCTAGTTTACACATACACAATACATAAAATTGAGCTATCAGAGTTAGTACATAATTGCTGGACTCATTAGCATTGGAATTTGCATTAATAATAACATACAAGAATTATAAAAATTAAACTAATAATAATAAATAACGAAATTAATTATAAATATCGCTATAAGTTATACGACTAGAAAGTTTCATATCAAATATAAAATTTACTGAATTTCGTAAGCTCAACACATATACCTTTCGAACTGAACGGGTGATTATGCTTACGTTACAGTAACGTACCCGAGTATCATAATAATATGAATTAGGTATACATAGGCTGGCGTCAATTTGGTTGCGATATCTACATCCATGTAATTTCATGTATGTACATATGTACCGACTAATACATAATTTATTATTAATATTGCCTTATATACTTTATTATTATTTATTCTTTCATACAATTTTACACATTTACAAGTTTCACATTTCTATTATGCCTCTTTAGACTTTGTTTATTCAATAAAGCTCTTCATATTGAGCTTTAAGAAATTTGGGTTAGGCTTTTAATCAACGCTATTAATCGAAAATTGAGGAGTGTGGCATATGGTATGCGGAGAATTTGAGCTTGCAGGCATTATACATTTTTTTTGGTATGTGAAGCGCCAACGAATGAATTTTTATACCCTGAACAGGATATATTAAATTTGACGCGATGTTTGTAAAACCCAAAAAGAAACGTCGAAGACCTTATAAAGTATATACATATGTATATATAAACGATCAGCGGGACGAGCTGATTCGATTTAATCATGTCCGTCTGTTCCTGTGTACGCGAATTATACTCTAGCAACATGTCGCGAGAGTATAAAAAGTATCGTTGCTTACCAAAACACGATCGTTATTATATAAGATTTTTTGTTATTTACTTTTTGTTATTATCTCATAAATTTATGTACAAAAAACAAGTAAGGAAGGGCTAAGTTCGGATGTAACCGAACATTTTATCCTCTCGCAAAGTCAAATGCTATACTCGTTTGAGATTTCTTTGTGGATTGATTGATATTTTCGGTAGAAGGTCAACTATAGGCACTGGGGTCCACATATTCAGTACTTAGGGGCTTGAACAGTTTTGGTTCGATTTAGACAATTTTTGGTCACAAGATGGCATACTTTAAACGTATTATTCATGCAAAGTTCTACCCCGATATAATCATTGTTGCTTGATATGTATAGTGGAAAGTGAAA